AGCGGTACGGCTCGTTCCCGTAGCCGAACGATGGTTCCGTAGATCGGTCAATACTAGAACCCATTAAGGCGACGGAGTGAGCTGATTGGGGCAACCTGAAAATTACCGTGTCTGATACATTCTAGACTTTCGAGATTAACGACCCCTGCTACGGAGTTATTTCGCGACGTTTGTGCAAATCAAAATTTTATGGTGGAACTCAGCAAGAATAATCACTCCGTAAAAGATCATGGATTAGGGGTTGGTTGCATAAAAGGACTCTTCTAGAAGTAGTAAGCATTTTGAATTCTTTCTCTTTGGAAAATAAATAATCAACTGCAAATTCCGTCAGCGACACCAAATGGATAATAAACGACCCACAGTGTCTGATGTAGCCCACCCCTAAAATAGTGTTATTAAATTTCTTGCATACTGGAATCAATATTGACTTCAAACCCCAAAAATGAACATACACACATACATACCAAGTGTATGTACGAAATCGTCTGACAGAACATTAATAAAAACTAAGGCTAACCAGGAACTAACAAATAGTTAGCCCAACAATTCACTCTTAAATTAAAAGTGAGGGCACTTCCGTGCTGAGATACTTGGCAGGTTTTTTGAGCATCCGATCCAACGGACTATTTTAGTTATTGGGAACTCCGAGTTGGAATTTCCTTCAAGACATCGTCGGACAGGGATTTGCTTGAAGCAACATTCCTTGGACCCGTTCACCAAAGGAGTAAGTATTGGCCGAAACATTTCGGCTGAAGTAGTTAACTAACAGCACTTTGGTTTGTTAAATAAGCGCCCGGAGAAATGTGGTTTTGGTAGTTAAAATGAAGAATATCTAGCCCTTGTTAGCAACCACCGCATGTGGATATTAGCGTTCCCGTGAATGAGTGCATGTATGAGCAATTGTGTGGGCGTAGTAGTATCATAAGCTTTCGAGTATTTGTCAGAGGTCATAAAAGAAGATTGGAGCAATTTTTCCTTGACTTTGAGGCGTTCATTGTGCCTTCACACCTATGGGGTCGCTGAAGCCAGGGATTTCAAATATGAATGCGGATTGTTGTCCGTCTCAATTAACAAATGAATGATCAAATATAGATGGGATAGTTAGTTACAACGTAAAACGTGACTCATCTGCAGGTCCTATAAAATATTCAACCATAAAGAAAACTGAGACCTAAAGTCTCGGCTCATAAACTTTTTGAGAGCCTCTTGCCGTGCATGATCTTTCGAACAACTGAGGGTATTTTCCTTCAAAAAGGAGGAAGAGTATAATAGACATAGTTAGTGAAAGGTGAGCCTACTTAGCTAATCCAGCGTGCTACGCTCGGCTCTCTCGCTTCCACACTTGAAACACGCACTACTTGATCCTTGCGGAGGAGTTACTCTTGTGTTTGTGAGCCAGACCAGAGGTGTACCAGTCATCTTGATTCAGCTTCACTTCCTTAAGCAATTCAATGCAACTTTTTTGATGTGACTGAAGAACTGCAGGTACTCAATCTTCCAATTATGATCAGGTACATTCGACCTGCCCATTTATGGAAAAGTCAATTTTCCATTAGTATTGTAAAGAATCTTGTTACGGAGTAGATAGAGATATAGATAGTAGCTAGTTAGATATTACTAAATATTAAACTTCAGCGTGCAACTCTACTATTTCCCATTGCCTTTGGGATGTTTCGCGGGATGGTGGGTTCCTGGAGGATCAACCATGAGACACTACCATTGGCCTTTTCCAAGACCTTTGTTGATATAGAAACAATGTGGTTCTTGTTAGCTGCTGGAATGCTCCCAGGAACCGATGTCCTGTATTGGTGGGGAGATCATGGGACTGAATTTTTCAATAGATTTTCTGGCATGAAATATAGCGAATAATTGTCCGTCGGACCAGAAGATGTAGAGCATACTCCGTACGCTGTAGAATTCAACAGCTTCACCTGGAAACTGAAGATATGGGTTCAAAAAGCTGAACTAACTAATGAGGGAGCTCAGTTACGTCTTTCACGATGAATTGCCATTTACATGCTCCAGGTTGGTGAATCGAAAAAAAGATGAATAGTGGGTTGGATAATGAAAATTCCATTGGAAAGCCAGACAATAGGTTACAAGGAAGCTAAACAATAGAATTATATGGGAGTTGCAAGCAATTTCAGGTTGGAAAAGTGGTTACCATCAGTCACATTTGAAGAGGGGCAAACTCAGAGTCTCCTGCTGGCAGTTTGTGATAATCCACTTTCTCCTACACCCAGAATTTAAGAGTTGGTATATTACCAAGGATCCATATTTAACACCCATTCTGGATGGAATAATGATGTAGATCTGGTAATATAGTTAGTTATACTGTTGCTCCGACCCCTTCTTTTCTGCAAATATATTACCTAACTACTCAGAACTGAACTGAGTAAAAAAGATAAGTTTCAAACTCACCATATCGTTGACGAGCAGCAGCTTGATCGTTCGCTGGATACGAATTGACTCTGCATGAGGCTTCGGCTAAGGGCGAAATTTAGTGAACTTCATATGATTTTTGCATGAAGTAGGAACCTCGGGTAAATAACTATCAGCGCCCCAAACACCGTCAGTTAACTTATAGTTACCAAAAATTTTCGGTTTGCTTTGTCATAGCCTCTAGCGGATTCAGCGTTTTGCGCCCAAAGCTTCCATCTATTTCAACTAGCTCACAGGCTCACATCAATACAATGCGTCGTCTCAAGGTTTTCTCCTTTGTTATTTCCGGCTCATGAGGACACCTACAATACAACCACCCATTCATTTGTGCTCAAAGCTGGAGCTTCCAATCCTCCGGCTAACCGGCGGCTGCGCCTCGCCAGCAGTCGATCCCACACACCCTCGTACAGCGAAAAGATCGCCACTAAGATCAAGTTAATTTGAGTTGGTTGCGCACCAGCGCGCCACAATTCTAGGTGTGAAAAGAAATCGAATCCGGAGAGAAGAAAATTTTTAAATCCAAACCGCAACAGAGGAATGTTTGCGTTGTAACTATGTCAGAGACACTAGCCTGTCCTATAATAAATGACGAAATGCGCAACTGAACCCATCAATGCTACTCTTTTGACTGCTAACTACCATAGCCAAAATTATTTATCCAGCCGTATGGAATATAAGATGACGGGAAAACAGGAACAAAAACAAGAAGCTGCATAGAATAGTTTTCATCTGTGCATCGCGATGTCAAGTATCTCCAGAGGTTCATTCATGGTAAGCTTCTCTTTTATTCTGCGTAAATCACCTCAAAATCCTCGTGTCTACACCGTTGCCCTTGCGTAAAGGTGAGTCTTTCAATTCTCACAGCTTTTCTGGTTTTATTACTTTATTTATGTTACAACACCTTTCTCTATTACCGGATATGCCCATTTCTCCAGTGGAGTTATTTCACTAGATCCTTGCTCAGGCGTTGCTGGCCGATACATATCCTTGTGCCACAACAATTGATGCGTCGACTTATTTCTAGAATTCTGCAAAGGTGGTTCAATGATGTCAACCACTCACATAGCTGCCTTTGACTGCAGTGCTAAATGTGCTAAATGTTGAGATGTCACTTTCACATTCAGAAATGCATGATCAGAAGACCTTTTGTTGGAATGTGATTGAAGTTCTGGCTTCCTGGAGAGGGACGCCATGTGGAGCAAGTCGTTTTAACATAAAACCAGCTTTCCAATCAGATTTTCTCGTTGGGTATTCTAACGAGATGGTCATGAATTTCTGTATGCCGCAGGATAAATTGTTTATCTTCAATACTACAGTGGAAGACTATGCTGCTAGCACATCGTGTTATTATGTTCCAAAATCGTTTCCCTCCTTCGCTTCAACGGTGGGTTTCTCTCAGTTCAACAAGTGCGCCGTCTGTATTTCGGCGATTTTCAGAGCTAACTATAATTTCCCCAAGCTCGACTCCATAACTAACCCTAACTCTCTAGGTTAGTTAGTTAACAATTCAGCCAGCTCGGCCCGCATTTTACTTTTATTAGACCCCTCATGGATCCTCCACCTCAAGGTGTACCGCATGTTAGAAACTCCACAAACGAGAAATCATTGGGACTCGTCTGCTTCAAAGAGAGACAAATGGATGTAATGGTCAGAATATGTAGGTATTAGGTTTTCTGATGATACACGATTTCCCATTGCAGTCCTCAAGTCCCCCTGGCTTTCATCGCACCTTTTGTTATTACTACCCTGACTCTTGGAATGGTCCACATGGAGACTCCTTGCGAGCCAAGCGCTGCTTAGCAAGTATATGTATGTGGCCCCCTTGTCATGGAAAGGCATGGTATCCATATTACCTGCATTCGCATAACACCCCAAAGGTTTTTCTAAGGAAAAAAAACAATTTTAAAAAAGATGTTAAGAGCATACAACAGCCAATGGAGAGCACCGTCGAAAGTAATAAATTGCATACCGGGCATAACATTGGCCAGTTGAGCCGTTTCCTTCTAGTCCAAGAACCTTCCTGTTAGCTATTTTCATATGATATCGGAGACGGAGCAGATCGTTCTATATTGGCTCTCTCCCCAAAGCTCCCTACAGCAAGACAGCAAGGTCTCTTTATACAACCCCTTCTCCCAGTCACTTTTTCACTTGCGTTCGCTATTGTGGCCCTCTTCTCTTTATTGATCTAAATATACTATTTGGATTAGTTAATTCAATCCCTCTCTTCTTTTTCTTTTCGTTCCAGATTTGCTGTTTCAATTTAGAACTACTTTATTTGTATTCAGTGGTGCTTCCACTGGGACTGTCGTTTCAATTATTCGTGACCACGGTGGGTTAGACGTCCATTTCTATCCTTTATGTCTCATATATAACATTTCACTATTCTTCTTCTCTCTTGGGCGGTATTGTGTCAATTGAGGGCATCTTGACCTCTCAAAATAATTCTGGCAAGACGGAACCAAACCTGTTCCAGTAATGGAGCTCGACAACATATATATGCTATCTTTTAAGCTATTATTGTCAGTTCGCCTCACCCAGATAACTTCCAATTGGCTGTCATGAACATTGACGACGGCATGAAGATCATTGAGAATCCGTATTGCAGAGGTGAACTTCTACTGACGTCTAGCATGGAATAACTAGTCTTTACCGTTATGTACGTCTCGTTGTTAATTTAATCGCCGTTTGGACTTTCAAGCCAATATTCCCAGCAGAGAATCCAACGTTGACATCTCAAGACGCCACGATTATTATACCTTCTCTGCTGGGCTACGGAGATGAACTGAAAGTGACCCTTCGATCCGTCCTTATTAACGAGCCGTTCCAAATTATTCTCGTAACAATTGATAGCAATAGGGGGAGCGCGGAGAAAATGCTTAGGACAATGCCCGCATCAAAAACTCGGATCCAACTGCTTAGCATCCCAAAACCAAACAAAAGACGCCAAATGGTGCGGGCTATTCCCGAGGTCCAAACAAAAATTACGGTATTCGTGGATGATGATGTTAGCTGGCCACCAAGGGAGCTGGTATGGTTATTGGCTGTTTTTGAAAAGGACCCTATCTATGGAGGAGTAGCAACATGCCAGAGGCTAAGAGGATCAGGCTCATCACTGTTCTCCATAAAGCGGGTGTGGGACTTCCTAGGGGCATTGTACCTGGAGCGTAGGAATTTCGATTGTGCTGCGACAACGCATGTGGACGGAGGCATGCCCTGCCTCTCTGGACGGACCTCTGCTTACCGGACCAAAATCCTTCAGGATCGGGACTTCACCTACAACTTCACAAATGAGGAGTGGTGGTTTGGGAAATATGAATTGAATGCGGATGATGACAACTTCCTGTCGCGCTGGATGGTAACGCACGGTTGGGAAACATATTTCCAATACCATCCAGAGGTGGAAATCCAGACGACGCTCGAAAGCAACTCTAAGTATCTCAAGCAATGTGTTCGGTGGTCCCGGAGTAATTGGCGGAGTAATCTCACAACCCTGATTCAGGAGCAAGTCGTTTGGTAGTAAGTTACTGGCATCTCCTTGGTTCTAGCGTCATTTCCTGCGTTCTCCTTCAACAATTTCTCATTCTATCTCCTTCTGGCGTCCGTGGGATTTGGTCCTGTTTTATACCTGCAAACTGCAACTTCGGTAACGACACCCACGAAGCCATTGAACTTATAAAATGATGGGCACTTTTATTCCATTTTTCAACTTACCTCTTTTTTTCTTCTTTTTTTCCATTTTTCTTTCTTTCTTTTCTTTTCTTTCTTTCTTTCTTTTTTTTCTTTCTTTTTTCTTTTTTTTCTTTTGCTTTTTCCGTGTTGTGCGGGATTACGTCGTATTTTGTTATGTTGTTATGTTCTTTTTGGTTTTTGCTTTTGTTGGTTATTCTGAGGATTGAGCAGTCCTAGTGGCTCTAGCCCCGGCAATTCGCGCAATCAATACTGTTGCTCCTTTCTGGAGCTTCTGCAGTGAGGCTTGATAACTTGGCCCATCCCTGTCACGATGAACCATAATAATTAGACCAGAGGGCTAACATAGAAGGGTCCGTGTGTTGAACTACTCTCACATTAGCCGCCAACCATGGAGCACCTATGCTGTCTATCTGACCACCCTGTCGCCGCCAGCCTTGGTTGGAGATTTGGCCCTTGTGGTATTCTGCTACTATGGCACAAAGGATTGGGATGAGTGCTCTCGCATGTTCACACTGAAGGCTTTGGCTCTATGGATGTTCGTTAGTAAATTTATCAAGCTCCTCGGTCACTATATTCGAAATCCAGCCGATTTTCTCCTTTTACCCGTGTCAATACTGTTCGGATATTTTCACGGCCTGATAAAGCTCTACGCTGCTTTTACACTTGATGTGGTAAGTCCGCTTTTCTCATATGAGTATATTTTTCCAAGGAAGCTTTGAATAATGCCGTTTGGGCCAAGATGGTTGCACTTGTTCTGGACCTTTCTTTACCTTTCTGGGAACAGTACGTTTGCTTGCCCACCCTGTCAATCTCTGCTCAAGATTGTGGAGTTTGGGCCAGGTGGGTTTAGCGTTTGGTTGGCTCAATGCTCAGCTCTCCGTCACAAGCAAGCACCATAATAGTTCTCTACCTCCGACTCGTCTTTTTCAGTGTTGCGTACGAATTGCGGCCAAGTTTTTCCCAAAAACAGACGTATCTGTTACTATGCCTATGTTTCAATCACTGACATAAACTGCGTTGATGCGTTTTTTAGACCACATGGGGCACCCGCGATGGTGCTGATGCCAGTGATTCAGAACGCATGCGGGAAAAGCCCCGAAGATGAAGGTTACAAAGAGGTAAAAAGCCTCTCTATTTCAACACTCAAAACAAAAATCTTTGCTCAGTGATATCGGACCTGGCTCCACCCTTTTAGTTACAGAACCTGCAGGTAAGAATTTTCTGGTAGCTGGTGGATAAAACACATCGCTGTATCAAAGAATTTGATACTGACATGATTAGTTAACGATTCTCCACTTTGTTATTCTGCGAATCTACTGGCCCCTCTTGTTGATTGTGGGCCGCGGGATGATACCACGCCAGATCATGCAAGATGCCAAATCTGGCCGCAACGATTTTCTTTATCCGAGCGGCGATGGAACCTCCAACAAATGCACGATACTTTTCCTTATCTCTTTCAGGTTGGCCTACCCGTTCTATAATCGGTCTCATTTCGGACCAAAATCAAGCCACCTTCCAACTCACCGCAATTAGGTAATCTCCACAATATTTAACTCGACTCTTTTATGCCCGATTTTATTTGTCAGGCGATACCCCTATTTCATTGTTTGTTGCAAATCGGTCATCTCCAAATGTTTTGCAAATCATCACTTGCTACATTTTTAATCAGTAAAAGCGTCAAAAGTCATCGATATCACGAATCTTATTTTTTACGAGTTCGCCAAATCACGAAAACTCAGAAAGACAAACACCCTGGTAATTCTAATAGCTGAGAATTGGGACTTCAGCACCACAGCACCCCCTTTTATTACTTTTTCTGTGTTTTGTTTCATATCTTTCTCTTGTCTTTTCTCTCGCTTTCCAGTTGGAATGAACTGCATGACTTCCGTCCAGGAAACAGTAATCTTAATATCTCGCGCAGATTGTTGGATACAGGCAAAGAAAGTGGATTCTGGCGCTCTAGAGGATGGTTTTCAATCACATATATTTACTATTCATTCTGTTTCTGCTTGCTACAGTGATGGGGAAGAGTCGGCCACCTGGAGCTCTGTCTTCTATTTTCCTAAATTGTGATACATACGCTCTCTATCTCTTCCTCAAAATTGGACTGGATTTGTGGTTCCTGAGATTTCTTCCTTTCCTTCCATGCCATAATTAACCAGTGTTTTTGCCTATTCTTGTTTGCTTGGTAACTTACTATGTCATTGTGTTTCCTTCCGAGTTCGAATGCGTATGTCTTTTCATTCAATCAGAGTTGGTGGAAAAAGGTTTTTCTCTTCAAATCACCTGATGAGATATTGAACGATTTTCCTTGGTTTTTGATCGATATTGGTTCTTCGTCTGGGATGTTTTATTATTTTTATTTATTATTTATTATTCTTTTTAATATCATGCATGCACAAGATACTTTAAAAAGATAATGTGCTAGATAGGCGCTAGTTAGATGGAGTGGCAAGAGAAGGGGAGTCGAATTAACTATGATCGGTGGGAATGAGAAGGGGATGTATTACTTGGATAGAGGTGGTCAAAATTATATATAAAAAGCTCTGTGGGACAGGAATCATTCAAGAAGTCACAGTTAAATTTATGCCGTGCTGATTGGTCGTTTTCATAATTTTAAATATTATGTCAGGTATTAGAGCATAAAATGGGCTTCAGGTAAATTGTGTAATGTCACCAGGACCTTCACATATAGTTCCAAAGATTAATTATAACAATGCGGCATGCAGAACTCCTTTAAGCCCCTCTATTTTCAAAGCCACCTGTAAAGGAGCTTCCTTGCATATTTGAAGGACAAAAAGCATCGTATCCCTAGTTACCATGAATATCCCTAGAAAAACTAGCTCTAGAATATCGTTTTCACTCCAGCCGCGTCTATAAGTTCTAGATAAAGAGATGGTCCGAGGTTATCGAAAGAGAGAGAAAGATGTTGGATGATATAATCCAAACCTTGGGTTAGCGAGATGATCGACAATTTGTTTCAGGACGGCAAACCGACGGAAACTAAGCATGAGCAGTCAGGAATCCGACAGTGACGGCTGAATTTCTGTCTGTGCGTGGCACTGAGCGCAATTGTGCAGCGTGCATGGTGGTTTTTTCTCTCGGGTATTGATGCCACGATCCCATCAATATCCATGCCCTCTTCCCCACAAGATGGATCCACACACCCAAATGCAGCTCATCATGCGAGCCACTGCATTCGATATGCTTGAGGTTCCCTGTTTGTGGGATTCTCAAGGTTCACAATAATTGCAGATTTGTTGTTGCAGGGAGTCTATGTTTATACTCGATGCTGATTGCCAGTTCCCTTAAAGGTTAGTGAATATGTTCTGCGCCCGTTTCCTTTAGAAGGGCGCCCATGCAAGTGATATGTAGTTGCTGCATGGAAGTGAACAGGCTTGTAAGAATGTAAAATATAAAACGCAAGGGTACTTGACTCGAGCAGCAGTCCAGGGTGGTGAACCACCGGCTTGACTTTTTCTTTTGCAGCCTGAGATATTCAGAATGACGTAGTCAAATTGACGTGGTCAAATGCAAAACAAGGAGAAAAGTTGGTGTCGGGTCCATATAGAGTTGATTATCCCGGAAGGTGGTATTCCAGAGACAAATTGAATATATGTATGTGTACATGCATTGCTGATAGATGCTCTTGACAGAGGAGACTATGTTGCTTCTCCTCGACGAATGTTAACACTCGACATCAGAACCAAGATACACGTTGCGGAAGACGGCAAGCATACATTCTCTGTGGACGAAGAAAACGTAAGCCCAGGGTGAACTGTAAACAACCACATTGGTCGCAGTTACGAAGTAAGGTGTTTTTCAGGGCACTTCTTGAACGATCGACTCCAGGCTGATCGGGAGATCTATGATATCTGCTGTTCCGGTGATCTTGCATCAGCCGATTCACTTCTGCTTTCGCTGCAGAATTTCCTCGTTGTTGCTCAACTCCTCTATGTACTCACAATTGGTCGAAGTGCTAAGTGCGCATCTGGGTTGACGCTGGCACACTATGATTTGCAGTCTGTAAGTTGGGAATTGGGTAGATCGTTCTTGATGAACAGTGGGACTCCATACTTACCTGCATATGCAGCTGTTCCTTAATCGGGGGTCGTCGTCGGTATATGGTTCTTCAGATCGATGCTCTTGGAACGTCGCCCCGCCTTTAGAGTCCCCTGGACTGTAGGACACAAAGACCTAATGCAGAAGTTTCAGAACTTATATCTTCAACCCAAATATGAATAAATAAATAAAAAAACCCCTCAGTTTGTAGAAGTCATCGTTTCGTCCAGTGAGGCGAGTATGTACGAACTTCCAGAGGTTGACAGAGTGAAGGACTCATATTTCTAAAAGATAGGGGTATATGCGTTCTCCCTGCCGAAATAATAAAGATTGGTCCGTTACCCAACTCTGGGCACTGAGACATAAAGCCAAACCTCATTCGTAGCAACGTATGCTGATGAAATGTCCCTGTTTAGCCATCAGTTCTAGACTGCGCAAAAAACAAGACGTCGCTCTCCTTGAGAATGTGTGTTCTTCTAATGTTAGCTAGCGTTTATCTGCATGCTGGCGAATATTACTTCGTATGTTGTAACTATGGTTTTGGTTTTCGAAATCGAGACCTGGGTGCGAAGATAAGCTCTGGGCATCTGTCCCAAAACAAGTTAGTTCAAGGGTCTAGTTAGTTAGTTACCGGCTGCAAATCTCAAACCCTAATGAATTAATGAAACGCCCTGCCACTGTGGCGGTGCGTGCTGTCAAGCTCGACGTTCAACTTATGCTACCGCAATAGATACAACTGAAGAAATACCAAACAACATGAAACCAATCTCGAGGATATCCACATCTACTCTTTTTACCCCCAGGTCCCCTTTACGCCTCCCGTGGGTTGATAGTCACACTCGCCATGTCCACTCATCGATAGCAAAAGGCGCTGTCGCCCATCCCATAAGCGTCCGTGGCCCGCCACCAAAGCCGCCCGTTCCGTCTTCCGAATTCCTCGAGCGCATTGAGCGGAGAAAGAAACAGTCGGAGCTTATGCAACAGGAGAACGTTTCGGAAGTACAACAGGGGACGAAGACAACGATAAGTCTGCTGAAAAGGCGTTTCTGGAAGGATGTCCATGTAAAAGAAGTGGCCGGTAAGAAACCAGACATTGTAAAAGTAGACTGAAATAATTTCCCGCCAGCCCGTTCGTCTCTAGGAATTATTATCAACAAAATTAGCTTTGGCACCGGAAGCATTTTGTCATAAAGCAGAATATGCTAATTTTTCTTCATCGTGGTTATTATACATGTTTATAGACGGGCATCAAGTCCTCCTTGACTCGTTCCCTGTGCGAACCCCAGAAAAGAAAATCATCACTATCCCGCCCTCAAAACCACATCTTGCCCATGCCATCGCGCTCGAATGGGACCTCCTCGTCTCCTCCCACCAGGCTCTAAAACATCACTTAATCCCACTGACCGCTCTAACAGCCCGTGCGCAAGATGTCGCCTTGCAGGATGCTGCCGGCCAAGATACCATCCGCAACGAAATCTTGAAAACCACAATGCGATATTTGGACACGGACACATTGCTAACCTGGGCGCCGGAGAAGAATATACATGATCCTGATACCCACGGCGAGGAGGTAGCAGAATCGAGACAGGGGGTGAGAGAAGGGGAGGCGCAGGAGTCGCTACGTGACATCCAAATCAAAACAGCTATGCCGATCATCAACTTCTTAACAGAGAAAGTGTGGCCAGGCATTGAGATTAAGCCTGCATTGGAGGCCGATAGTATCATACCTACCTCACAGACGCAGATAACCAAGGACGTTATACGCGGGTGGATCTACGGCTTGCCGGCGTATGAGCTAGCGGGGCTGGAGCGGGCTGTTCTAGCTAGCAAGAGTTTACTTGTGGCAGCGCGGTTCATTGTTGAGTGGAGTGAAGAGTTTCGCAATCTGCAGCCGGAAGGGCGGAGGGAGTTTGGCATTGAGAAGGCGGCAGAGGCGTCGACGCTGGAGGTTACGTGGCAGACGGGAAAGTGGGGGGAGGTGGAAGACACTCACGATGTTGATCGGGAGGATGTGAGGAGGCAGCTTGGATCGGTTGTGCTGCTTGTGAGTGGAGAGCGGAGATAAGTTTTCGAGTGAAGCCGGGGGTGGGGAGGGAAATGCTGTCTGTATATTACGTGGTGCCATCCGTATATTTAATTAACACACAAACAACACCAAAGGCCTCCTGGCTAAAATCTGGTGTTGTGCATGGTGAAGATGAGTATATTTCATAACCTTCAACCGTGTAGTTGATACGTACATAAAAAATTATATCCGTTACTTTTTTACCTTCTTGACTTTGATCCTAGGGATTCGAGGGCTTGACCAATAGAATCCCCCACTTTTCAACAGGACATTTATATGCATAAACATATCGCCTGACCACTTCAGCGGCAGTCGTCTCATGTTTCATCAATTGCTACATAATATCCTCCATGCCCAAGTAGTTTCTGGGGGCATAAACATCATTGTGGGAGTGGAAGTCACCAAGGTTGTAAATGGAGCTGGCCATATGCTATGGGGATTCCTGTTTAACCAGCGCGTCTGTTCAAAACCCTCTTCCAGCAGTTTTTACTTCTTCTATTATAAATAGAGGGAGTAGAGTAAGGTACCTATTCTTGGACTCCTCCTATCCTCCACACCATGAGCAGACCTAAGTGAGCGCTGCGCAGGCAGTCCGTTTTTTCATTTTCATTGATTAGTTATACCCATTACAAACGATTGCTGCTCGTAATAATGTTATGTAGAACCACGAGTTTCGTAAAGGAACAATGAGAGCCTGTTTCCAGGAGCTGGTGTAGGGTCTGCGTATTTGCCTCCCTTGAGACATGAAGGGTTTATACGAAATAACATCTGCTTGTGACGAAGCTATTGCGATCAAATTTAGTTGCTGGAAGAGGAGACTGCTTGAGCTACTGAATAGGGACTAAATACTAAAGTGTAGTTGTAGGGGAGTCCGTCCAAGTAACTACAGAATAACTACTAGCCGGGTATTTAAACTCAACATCCCTTGGGGAAATGATAACCTCCCAACCAACGACGTTCGTCCGACGTCGTAGACGCCACAGAACGATCTGTCATATCCCAGTTTCCAGTTCCAGCTCCTTTCTCTCTCAAATCTCTTCATCTTCTTCTCTTCAATCACCTCCTGTTGCAAGTCCTATCTCATCCATTGCCCACCAACCTTCATCGCCGGAGAGACCATTGAGCACCAACGAGTGAACCCCATACACAGTGAGAACTTCGGGGAGGATTGCGTGTATTCAGCACCTGCTCGGGCAAATGTCAGAAAAGATAGGGTAACTAAAATTGCCATTTTCGTTTTCAGGCGGGAAATCAGCTATATAACGACATCTCAGAGACGTTGTTCGATTGTCAGCATCTTGAAGCTCTCTCTCCCCACTCAAATTCACCTTTCACCACTGTTCCAAGAAATCTCCTCTTCCCGCCCAGTTAAATATCCTTTCTTTACGATAGTTGCCTCTTCTCCTGTTGTTCATGGCCTGAAACAGCCTGAGCCCCGGATGTACTATTGATAGCGTCGTCATATCCCAGCAGGGATGCGCATGCTGACATAAATACCCTAACTTAAACCCTCAACTAACACCAACTCTACTTGCCCGCCCCCAGTCACAAACGCTCAAAGAGTGCCTTAGCGCATTCCCTCCTCCACCGAGCCAAATCCAGGTCTGGCCTTCAAGAAGACCCCGAAATTCTCCTAGCGAATCGTGAGCAGCATGGTGCTTCCGCAACGATGGATCCCAAGGCTCTCTCGGTCCCGCCAGCCAGCGACGGTTCCTGTCCCTCCCACTCGAACTCGACTTCCATGACTAATCTGTGTGCCACCCGCCAGCAGACCGACACCCTGTCTTTGAGCAAGAGCTCTGGTGGGAACGCTGGCTCCACCATTGCCTCTCACGATCAGCCACCTTCAGGGGCCAGAGAAGAAGTATTGACCAGATCAGCCATGTCGATCGAACAGTCAGTTCGCACTTTTCGTCTTTTCGAAATCTTACGCAGCGGAGATACCACGGCCATATCCAAGGCCATCAAAGAATGCGCAGAACCCCATTCCCAGGGAACCCCGCCATTGGGCACCAGCATCCTCCACCTCGCAATACAATGTGTTGAACCACAGATCGTTGAATATATCTTGTCAAGTTCTGCTAACCTTGACATCAATGCTCGAGATCGTGATGGCAACACCCCCCTCCATCTCGCTGCCCAGCTGGGCCGGGCCCCCATAGTCCGCGAACTCCTCGAGCGCCCGGATATTAACGATTCCGCTACGAACTACAACGGTCAGATACCTCTGGACCTTGCGCGAACCCCGGAGATTTTTCAGCAACTCCAGCTAGCCCGTTCGATATTCTTGGATGCTAAAACGAAGGAGATGCAGTGTTTAATCGGGCAGGGCGACTACGAGAGACTAGAACGTCTGTTGGTGGAGCCACGGGTTGAAGGCTTGCTAGATGTGAACAGCTTAGATCTGGTTACTGATCGGACCACCATGATGACTGGTGGAACCTTACTTCACGAGGCGGCTAGAAAGAAGGATACAAAATTAATACAGATTCTTTTAATGCATGGAGCAGATCCATTCAGACGCGATCGAAAAGGGAAGCTCCCTCAAGACGTCACAAAGGACGATCGGACCCGTGCTATCGTGAAGAGGTCACCCGCTGCCATGATCGCGCAGCGAGGAATCCAGGAAAAGGCAATCCTGGGCAGCGCAGCTGGACAAGGGAACCCATTGCGATCTGGAGTTGGAGAAGCAGGAGTAGGAGGAAAAGATGCTCGGGAAATGAAGGGATATCTCAAAAAATGGACCAATTACACAAGTGGTTATAAGCTGAGATGGTTTGTATTGGAGGATGGTGTAATGAGTTATTACAAACACCAAGGTATGATCATAGTCACTAAACCCGTAGGGTAACGTCACTTCCTGTCGGAATGACCCCGCTAAGATCATACAGATGATGCTGGCTCTGCCTGTCGTGGTGCGATCAACATGCGTATAGCGACCCTGCATATGGATGCACAAGATAAGACCCGTTTTGAGATACAAGGGAAGTCGTCAGTCAAGTACCATCTCAAGGCTAACCACGTTGTTGAGGCCAAGCGTTGGTTTTGGGCTCTGAACAACGCAATCCAATGGACCAAAGATGAGGCTAAGGAAGATGACAGACGCAGGACAAGGAATGCAGAAAGCTTACGTCAGGCAAAGTTGGAACAATTTGACAAACAGGGGTTGGATTCTCAAAGCGACTCCGCTAGCGTTGTCTGCAGACCAAGCGGGAAAAACCTTGCACCTCCGTCATCCCTCGGGGTTCTCAGCCACGCGAGCTCGAGGCTGAGTCTTCAAACTTCAAGAGGAGGAGCGGAGAGTATCCGTGGTGAAGATGAAAGTTCAAATTACGCGCCAAATGAATCGACCTTTTCCCCACAAGAGAACAATAAATTGCCAACCCATCTCACTAGCCACGTCCTCGAAGGAGAAGCTGAAGATGATGATTGCGGAGATTACGCCAGCAGCAATGAACTACAACCTTCAAATAAGGACGCTTTCAATATTACCGCCCAATCTGTTAGATTACAGCTCTATCTTTTGAGCAATGTTTCCGCCGCTCTTCAGGCAGAGAAAGTGAAGAACCCCGAGACTCGAATTTCAGACCCTTCAATTGATCAAGCTTTAAATGCCTATGAAGGGGCAGTCAGTAGTCTAAATTCCCTTGTGGTTGATTTACTCAAAATCTCAAGGGATCGAGACGCATTTTGGCAATACCGCCTGGACAGGGAGGCTGACGCCCTTAAGATGTGGGAAGACAGCATGGCTAGGGTCGCCCAAGAACATGAAGAGCTTCAGAGCAGAATTGGCGAGTCTGAGGAGAAACGAAAGAGAACGAAAAAAGCGCTGAAGGAGGCTCTGGAGCACCCGTCAACTTCAACTAGTCGTCCCATCAGTAGAGGCCCGTCTCATGTCCAAATACAAGATGCCCTGGAAGTGGTCAAGGAAACCGTTACTGAGAATCTAGCCTTTACGGAGCGCAAGACTAGCAAGGAACTGAGAAGGAAGAAGTCCCTCATCACGGAATTCACAAACCTCTCTGATTCGGAATCTGATGAGGACGAGGAGTTTTTTGATGCCGTTGATGCTGGAGAAGTCAAGGTTGTGGAAGTTCCACCGGAGAAGGTAGTCGAGGCCCGGGATTCCGTTTCTAATATCCGAGCTTCGAAACTCGATGAGATCGCTCTGTCATTTAAAGGGTATGAAGATCCAATTCGCAAGAGGCTTAAGATGGATGCAGACGATAGACCTAAAATTTCTCTCTGGGTAAGGGAGCATACGCATACACTCTTTCAATTCAAGATTGATGTTGCTAACTAACACCCCATTTTAGGCTATATTGAAATCAATGATAGGCAAAGATATGACCAAGATGACACTCCCTGTGTCATTCAACGAACCAACGTCGCTGCTCCAACGGGTAGCCGAGGATATGGAGTACGCGGATCTTCTTGACCTCGCTGCTGACCGTGGAGACTCCATGGAACGCATGGTCTACGTTGCTGCCTTTGCAGCTAGTGAGTATGCTTCAACAATCGACCGTGTGGCTAAGCCATTCAATCCTCTTCTTGGGGAAACATTCGAATACGTCAGGCCGGATAAAGGTTACAGATTCTTCATTGAGCAAGTTAGCCATCATCCCCCAATTGGTGCCGCGTGGGCTGAGTCTTCGAAATGGGATTATTATGTATGCACCCCTTGTTGGTACTACTACCGTTTGTCAGCTCTCTCGCACGATACTTACTTAATTTTAGGGTGAATCCGCTGTGAAATCAAAATTTTATGGCAAGTCGTTCGACATCAATCCACTTGGTACTTGGTTTTTGAGGCTACGCCCTATCAGCGGTGGCGAGGAGCTCTACACTTGGAAAAAGATTACTTCATCAGTTGTTGGCATCATTACCGGTAATCCCATTGTAGACAACTATGGGTCTATGGAAATTAAGAATTGGACTACCGGCGAAGTGTGCATGCTTGACTTCAAACCTCGAGGCTGGAAGGCATCCTCCGCCTATCACGTCTCCGGCAAAGTGATGGATAGTGAAGGATCGACTAAATGGAGCATCGGTGGGCGCTGGAATGACAAGATCTATGCCAGGCACACGCCCGGGTATCAAGAGTCGGTCACCCCACCTCATGAGGATACTCCCCAACATCCAGAATCAGCCCGAGCATTCCTTGTCTGGCAATGCCATCCCCGACCCACCGGTATCCCATTCAACCTGACACCCTTCGTTCTCACGTTAAACGCCATTCCCGATAACCTCAAGCCTCACCTGCCCCCAACAGACACACGGCTCCGTCCGGACCAACGTGCTATGGAGGATGGCGAGTATGACTTTGCGGCGACGGAGAAGCATCGTGTGGAAGAGAAGCAGCGGGCAAAGAGACGAGAGCGAGAGACCAAGGGTGAGGAATTTGAACCGAAGTGGTTTAGCAAGGGCCGATGCAAAATTACCGGCGAGGAGTTTTGGGTTTATAACGGACGGTATTGGAAGTGTAGGGAGGCTAATGACTGGTCTGTTTGCGAAGATATATTTTAAGGTTTTTTTCAGTTATCTTTTTCGCAGCCTTTACATCTCTGGTTGTTTCCTGGCTTTACATGTTTTGCGGACAACCACCTAAGTTATGTATGCGGAAGAGGTGGATATTGGTAACAGCATAAGAAACCTGGGGTTAACCAGCCGCTTGATATGTATAGTTATTTATTATTATTATTATTTTCTTCGTCCCCTCAAGTTAATTACAATAGAAATATATCCAACAATTCAAAGACAATGCATTCCGAAAATCAAAATCGGCCTCTTTTTAGGAGCGTGGACCGAATGCCACAACCACGTGATTGAGATTATTTAGCTCCAAAGATATTGATTGCAAAGAACTTTTCGGCGTCAACTATACAACTGCCCATCCAAATCAGTGTCCATTCTCTCTAGCGACAATAGTTCCCAATGGCCATGGAATTTACATGCCAGAAATGTGCGCAAGCGCTACGACTAGGAATTCGGCCACAGATTCCTGCAATTCGAGTACGGACCCTGTCCCATGTCGGACGCCGATACCAACATCTGAGCACAAATGCATCCAGCCTCCAGGCCTCTAAAGCAGGCTCATGGTCGACCAAAGTTCGAACTGAAACGACCACTATTACAAATGTCGCATCGTTATCTGCCAGCCAGCCCACTACATCAGGGACTTCAGAAGCCTACAATGGAAGGCCTCTGCTTCAACCGCACAACCTGTTCCATTCATATAGCAACTCCCCCTCTCCCGAAATACGGCAACGTGCAGCGTTCATAGTGCAGAATGCCTTCTGTCCTCATCCAAGTCATCGACGGACGCGTGTTCCCACCTCCCCGCATGATTCTGAGGCGAGAAAGTCACCAGAAGCCAGCAGTGACAGCCAGCCGCCCTTGCACTCTCAATTCGAATGCCCGGACTGTGGGGTGCCGATATATTGCTCTGAAGAGCACTGGATGGATGATTTCGAGGCGCACCTGGAAGTGTGCGACACAATCCGGCAAATAAATGAGGACGACCATGACCTGAGGTCTGGCAGATTTTTCTCCGAGTTTAACTACCCGGGCCCACAGGAGGAAGAATCGATCGTGAATATGACGAATTGGGATACGTTCTTATATACCAGGCAATTTGATGCCATTAACAATGATAGAAACATGAGGCAGGTGACGAGATTGCTCACGTACCCGGTCACTATTGCCAGTGTGCTGCATGAGCTTTCTCCATATCATATCCGTAAGGGTGGCCGGTTAACGCCGGAGGGATTGAAGAGCTTGAGTGGTATGTATCGCTGAACTTCCTAGGTATCTACCTTTTGAACCTCTAGAGCAACTAACCGATTTACCCAGCGCTTCGCTACACCCTCCACCCACCTAGAACCGGCGAGGGAGCAGCAATGTCCGGCCTCCGCCTCAAAGCGCCCCCGGTCCGCATCTTTATCCTAGGCGCACGGGCGGAATCCTCCCTACCCCGGGACGTCTGGCTGCAACTCTCCTATCTCTTCCCACGCGCGCTCATAAGCCTCATATTCATCGGCCCAGAGAGCATGGCGAACCGGGACGACGAGTTCCCGCTCCCCGACCGCACCCCATCAAATCCATTCGGTGCCATCGTTGAAGACCGCCTGCACTCTCTAATGAAGATAACTACGTATGTCGACTATTTCCACACGATTCATCGGGCCAATATGTTTCAGCCGTATGACCCTTACTTTGACTGCTTCATGCTATTCCATCCGGGACTTGGGCATCCCTCCAGCTCGCATGAATGGGAAGAAACGCTACCGTATCTTCTGGAGACGAAGGTTCCCATTCTGTGCACGGGGTATTCAGAGTGGGATATGAAGAGGGACTTGGACTGGGTGATGGAGAAATGTGGCGGAGAGGTGGATTTGTTGCTGGAGCCTGGAGAGAACAGGTTCCGGAGTCTGAGGTGGGATCTGAATGATATGGATCCGCATGATATTTCATGTGGGAATTGGGGATTGTGGGTTTTTAGAGGAAAGAGGTATGTTATTCGGCGTCTTCGCCATTGATATTCTCAGTAAATGTGATCTTGTGTAGGCACTCTAACTGACTTTTTTTTTTCTCGTACAGATATGAGGCTACTTACAAGGAGTCAGAAGCAGAATAGTGCATTGTGTGAAGTAATAATCTATTGTATTATGTTGAGATTGATGTTCGACCTCCTCTCCCTGTATTATTCAACAACCTTATTTTTGGAAATCAAGTTCCACTCAACATTTTAAAATATTCTATTATTACAAACTTTGCTCCACCGATATTCTTTCAATCTCTCTATTTTCTAGTTTCTATCTCCAAACCTCTTTCTCCATGACCGCCCGCATCATGCCAGGAGAGAACGTTAATCGGCATCGAAGTATTGTCGAGGTGCTGTAGAGGGAGTATATCCAATAATCAAAGCATCAAGTCGCTCATGGGCAGGAAGCATATGGACAGAACGAAATATTAATAGATTGGTAATTCTAGGTGCACAAAGGAAGGAGGAGTGGGGTGGGGGGGTTGACAATCTCTAGAATATATCATCGTCAATTACCCAAGGGCCAAAGCGTAAACAAGTGAACATCCATGATGATAAACCAATGAGATTCAACAAAAATCTATAATAGCGACAAACAAAGGGGTATCACGCCACCACAGAAGACTGACAGACTATAAATCGTGAGAAAAAAATGAAATAAAGAAACACGGGCCATTTATATCAGCGTAACGGTCGCAACAAACAATGAAGCCATGACCCAATAGCCGCTCAGCATCGACAGCACGGGCGGGGAAGTAAAGCTGCTAGAACTTTCCTTGATGGATGGGTCGGAGCTTGTCGTCCCATTAGCCAGCGTGCCATTCACATAGATAGTTCTAGTGCCATTGACCGTAGCCACGACAATAGTCGAAGTGTTCTTGGGCAGGCCATCTCTATCCTTTTCACTCAGCAGCTGATCAATATATGTTGTGTTGTCGTTTTTGTCACAGCCGCAGACACCGAACCGCTGGCACAGACATTCAATGGGGATTTGGGTAACGTTCGCATTGGGATCTGAGGTATTACGATGGTTATAATGCCCGATGTGATAGGCGTGGGCCCCAAAAAGCCAGACACCGGGGAAGAAAGCAAGGGCAGCTATTGGGAGGAAAGCAAAGGGGAGCAATCCCATTCTTGATCTTCCACCGGCTGTATAGGGAACTGCGGCGCCGCCAGGATAGAAGCCGCCTCCTCCGAAACTGCGAGGCGTTCCGGAGCCAGAACGTGTTGAGCCGCCGATATTGCTGTTTCAAATATAAAAAGGAGGGTCAGTATATACCCAGTGGAACGGGCATATGGATTCTTCAGATACCGTACATACCTTGAGGGTCTAGCTCCAGTCGACCCTGCACTTCCTCCCCTAGGTGAACTTCCACTTCCTCCCCCCTTTGGTCCACCTCCACCGCTTCGTCCTCCACTCCCGCCTCCAGATACTCTGCCTCCTCCTCCTCCTCCACCCCTTCCACCACCACCCCCGCCCCCGCCACTGCCACCTCCTCCTCTACGTTTCTCTAGGTCGAAGAACTTTGGGCTGTCAACGGGCCCCGGGTTGATAACTTCTCGGGCATCGATATGTGCTACGTGAATGTCTGCTAATGGGATGTTGACGGGTGTAACTGTGCAGGACAGCGACAGAAAAACGCAAAGCGCAAGACCATGTGACAATCTCATTGCGGTAACCGGCAAACGGAAAGAAATAAGTTGTCGAGGGAGTCGCACAAGTAAAAAGCACAATTTATGGAGTCAAGTGCGACAAAGATGTCTGTCAAGGTGTTCGTTGGAAGAAATGCCTGGATGTTTTTGAAGGGAATCGCCCAGGTCTTTTATAGAATATCACGAGGTTGAATCCTGGGGAAACGGTGAGCCACAAAACATGAGATCAGCGGCGCTGCGAAGATTAGTCTGCGTTGAAAGAAGGCGCACTTCCACTGGTATTTCGTTCATTACTTTGACGGTAGGGCGAATGAACTTTCAGTAGTTGACTATGCCAAATGCGAAGTTCTCAGAGTTGGAATTCTCCGATTCTAGCGGCGGCTGCGCCAGACGAAAGTTGTTGTGGGAAACAGCTTGTTTCAGCACTGTCATCCTAATATATACTGGTGAAAACCCCCCAAAGATTATTTGTTCAAACAGACAAAACTGCGCACTCCGGGTCAACCCCATCGCAGCCCAAATACGAGCAGAACATTCCATCCATGGATCGCCCTGTAATGTTATGGGGGCTAATCAATACGGGGAATTGTCTAATCTGGGGCTTCCGCAAGGGGCGAACTTCAAGAACAGATTCCCAAGCAAGTGAGATGCCGTTAAAGCATTCCTGGGTCCAATCACCCTGCCTAGATTGAAGGCTATCGCCAACGTTTTACGGGTTGACAAAGAGCACAGCCACAGGTAGAACCGAACATCCCATCACCCAATTGGACGGACAAATCTGGAGAAGAACTCGAGCAAGGACATTATCGAGGATTCCAAGGTTGACAGCTGTTAATAATTATTATGGTTAACTATTGTTTTTAATACAATTGGGTGCGGTTGCCTGCATTCTCAATCGTGAAATGAGAAAATGAGATCACTTGCAACTTTTCTTCTGCTATGATCACCTTTAACCAGGGTCAAGGCGTAGCCACTCGAGAGGTCTCTCTCGTTGTCTCTTCACTAGGCTGAATCTGGATGGAGGTTAATGGAACGTATTTCAGTGAGCTTCAAGAAGAAGATACCGCCAGCTGCCCGTCTCTTGGGGCCTAATTCAAACGCCCTGTGTTCTGCCAGGCAATCGTTTTATAGAATTACCGCAGCTGCAGATGCAGCACATAATGATTCTCTAAGGGGTTCACAGTGGAAGGAGAATTAACTGCTGCGATCCTCATAATTTAGTTATTACATTAGTTGTTGATGTTGTTAAACAGGGCAAATCAACAACGCAAGGCTAGTTATTATAAATAAATGCTGCTGTGTGTTCAGTTCTAAAGCAAACACAGCAAACACCAACACAAAATTTCATCACACAAAATGACCACGGTCATCAAAACACCAGAACACCAACAAACCGCCCGAACCTCGAAAAAGATGTATATTGGTCAATGATGAGAAATTCGAGACGAGTTCTCGAAAACAGCCCGGCCATTGGGTCCCGCAACAGAATGCCAATTAACTAATGCCGCTCCCGAGTTCTCCCCTACGCTGCTCCGCCCCTCCCCCCTCCCCGCAAATGAAGACGTGCTTGAGGCTCTGTGGGCTCCAAGATCGCCCAAGGCATTCAAGAAAATGGAGAGACTATTGTGGCGACACTTTTCAGAGACTTTTTCGTCGCCCGTTGTCTCCTGGGAGGCTCAGACAAACGACAAGCATGGATTGAGTCCGCACGAGGAAATAAAGGAAAGATCTTCTGCGTTTCACCTTGTTGTCAGGCAGGTTCAGGGACCTAGGTGTCGAGACAACTGCAATACCCCGAATCCAGCTGTTCCCTCTATTCTTTTTGGCCCACGAACCCTTCCAACCCGGAAGGACAATCGGCATATCTTACACGTCTTGTGTGCATGTCGATTGGAGCTGGATTTTGGAGTCGAGAGCATCCTACATTTATGTTCGGAGAGAATATTTACCTCTGTTCTCTTAGACCTTTCGGGGTTGGGAAATTTTCAGAGTGATTAATGTTCTTTCTGGCATGATTTGTTTTTGCTTACGTTGCGAGAGAAAATCACCTTGCAGAAGGACCTTCATAGTTCATGTTTTCTGGGTTTTCTTTCCTTTCAATTGGAGAGGAGATCTCTCATAGATGAACATGACTCCTTGCGTCTCTACATTTCTTGCTTAGTTATCCAAGCGTCCTGTCATCACAGTGACAAATGGGCGATTATGTCAATCAGCACATCGCATTTCAGACAGATTAGCAAATCTATTCATATATCATAGTATAGTTTTACATCTAAAATTCTTGAAATCACAACTTGCTCAAAGCCCCCTCATCTTCATCGGGTATCTTAACCACGACTTTCCCCCATGTCTCTCTGCCCCCTAACGCCTGCAATGCCTGCGGCACACTCTCTAACCCGACGAAACTCTGGTCCGTGAAGCTTGTCCCCTTGAACTTACCCTGCCTAATTAACTCAAAAATGCCGTTCCACACCACTCCCACAGTCTCCTTCTCGAAGTTTGCATACTGGCCCCAATGCAGTCCCACGATGCTAACGTTCTTCAACAATACCCGATTTAACGCAACTTTCTCAATCACCCCCGACGCAAAGCCAATAACCAACAATCGAGCATTCCAAGCGACGCATTTGAGACTCTGGTCAATCATCCCCACAGGGTCATACACGATATCAACACCAGCCTTGCCATTCCCCGTCCGCTTAGCTGCACAGAGCTTCTTCACCGCATCCGGCCACTTAGGATCCGAGTAGTCAATCGTGTAATCTGCCCCAAACGACTTGGCAACCTGCCTCTTCCTCTCCGTTCCCGCAGTGGCAATAACAGTAGCTCCCTTCGCCTTCGCAATCTGCACTGCCGCCAAGCCCACTCCGCCGGCGGCAGCGTGCACAAGAACCCAATCTCCGCTCTGCACATTCGCCCGCGTTACAAGGCCACCATACGAAGTGGGTGCAGTAACGAAGAGGCCCGCAGCATCTTCAAAGCTCCACCCTTCAGAAACCGGCAGCAGCCTATCTTCCGGGGCCAATATATGTGTAGCGTAGGCACCTTGCATGGCTCCGAAGACGCGATCGCCGGCTTTGAACTTTGGGTTGGATTTGGCAGCAGTGGGTGTGTTAAGGACTGTTCCGCCAAATTCCATGCCGGATATCCATGGTAACGGGGGCTGGTGTTGATATTTGCCCTGGATCTGAAGCAAGTCAAAGAAGTTTGTGCCGGCTGAGTGTACTTTTATGAGATATTTGTCAGGGGAAGGGGAAGGGGTTGGAAGGGTGGTGACGGTCAGGTCAAGCGGCCCCTGATCTTATTGTCAATGTCACATATCATGAGTGGCAGGTTGCCTCCATGGAAGGGTGGTAAAGGGGAGCTATAATGTTGGGAACCTCCTACCTTGACATATTCCTTAACTTGTATTGCGCGCATTGTGAAATAGGTCGTGACAAGGAATATTGATATGCCGGGTGTGGGAAGTCAAACAAAATCACTCTCCTCTACTTTTTGATACCTTCTCCCTGCTGTATCCGAGCAAGTCGGGTATTCATTTGTAGGATAGTTAGAGCACAAAGGGCGGAGATGCCCTGTGCCGAGGCTCAACGACCCGCCCGAAGTTTCTTTAGCTGAAGCAGCCGGGGTTAAGTTAACTAACTAATCAACCGCCAAAATCACCCATCGCTCAACTAACTAGGTTTCAACATGATATTATCTACGCTCAACAACGACTAATTGATTTAAATAAAATTACACTATGTTCAGGACATCTTATTCCAACATGGCCAATCGTGCCACAATTGCTGTGTCTTTGTGGTGCTCGTTAGCATGGCCTAGGGTTCTGGGGCGGGGGTGTGTTTGGGCAGAATGACTAGCTGTTGAATTCAGCAGTTAGTTTGACCTTGTAACGAACTGCACTTTTCATATCCACAGGTTTCAATAACTTGATCAAATTCTTTCACTAGGCTCTGAGAAAGGTTTTCGAGCCTTCTGTCTAATGACTATCACATGAGCAAGTGATCCAGTTAAGTGTTGAAATACATTTTAGTTAAGCCCGTTTTCATGACAATCCATTACAACCCCTGTTGATGCATGAAGCCCCTGACGACAATTCTGCAGCCTCTCTCTTCATTGTCATATTTTCCCCAATTGCAGTTATCTCTTCTTGGAAAAAAGCAACAGTGAAGCACGGCCATAATGTCAATTGTGAATGCATGAGATAGGCAGGCTTAAAACCTGCAATTCCGGCTCTCCATGCAGGTACCCAATTATCCATTGAGTGCACAAACTTCTTTCCACACCAACTGCATGTCCATTCAGCGAATCTATGACAATTATGGGGAAAGTCTTTATAGGCTTGCCGGAAGATTTTTATAAAAAGGCTTACTTGATGCTGCAGGGGACTGGGTAATGTGTAACTATCCGTTTATGGAGCGTGCAAACAATGAATGGGCGGCATGTGTCGTGGACAACTTTGCATCACGAGTTCGATATGACACCTTGCATCTGAAATGCCACATATGAATATTGAGAGTGGAAAATAGGGCTTTCCATCCGCTAAGCCGTACTCAAACCACTCGCTGGTCTGTTAGTAATTGGGCGACTGACAATCAGCGAATTTAAGCTTCGTATTTTGTTTTTGTGTATATTTTCCTTTCCCATCTTGACGATAGGTCATAAGGACAACGTGAGCCCTGGTTTTGGCATCTTGACGTACGTCGGACCGTATTTTATCGACTCCGAAGGCGTGATATCGGTGAGATATACACACATGTATTTGAACGGTTGAGCATATAAACGGTATTAAAAGTGGTCAACATTTCGAAATATTCGCACAGCATTTTTATGCTCTCAACATCAGATTATTACCCCATCTCATACAGAAATGATGGAATATTCGATTTCCTGTGGTTTTTAATTCCCTCAGTAATCTTCCCCCACATCGCATCATCATCATCATTGATATGTGTATCTCCAATGAATAGATGATAATCCGCCATACGGCGTAAGATAAATGGAACCCTGCCGCCAAAGAGGACACAAACTTCGTCGCCAGGACTCATCATCCGAGGGCCAATACCTAAATAACCCTTTTCTGTAACGTAGAAACGGGGATGGAAGCACACTGACCTTGCACCACGCTCGAAACGTTCTGGATCGGCTCCGGCCTCACCTAACTCCATTGTCACAAGGCTACAGAGACGGTCAAGGAGACTCAGTTTCTCAGGTCCGTATGTTATTAGAATGGTATCGTCGACCAGGATCTTGGATAAAAGAAACACTGCGGCATCCGCTTCACCCTGCCGTATAAACTTTTCCTTCGTAAGACCCTATGTTCCGCCGCCCATCAACTGACTAATATCCCCCATGGCTGCTCCCAGTGGCGTAGCAAGCAATGTGGCACAAAATGCCATCACCAACGGGGCCTTGTCATGATATAAAGGCATTGGGGACTGGTTTAGCGGAAAACTAAACATTTGATTCCACAAGTCTTGAAATGGAAATGGACCTGTAAGACTGTACTCCAATACTTCGCTAACAGATTTGACCCAATCCACATGAAATCCACGAAGTCGAAGAGAGTTCGGTTGAATGGGTTCTTTTGAGAGAGTCATATCTTCAACTTCTGCAAAATATCGAAAATGGCCGTCGGAGAAGCCAGCAAGAAAGCAGCCTACATCGAGGACACTGCACTGGCGGGGTTGAAACCATTTCGGGACCCAAGATGGGTAGTAGCTCTGAGCTGGATCATCCGTGTGTTGCACATGCGCCAATACGGAGAGCACCCGAGGAGATTTCCTAATTAAAAACCTCGTGAGATCTCTGTAGACCTCAACGACGTCCTTGTTGTAGTTTGGCTGGAGAGCTTTGTGCCTCAGAACATCGAGACCAGGACCAAGATCATTAATGTGCCTTGCAATACTGGAGGCAGCTCGCCGGTATAGCGACAGGGCTGTATTGGTGCCCGAGGTCGACATGATTTGCGTGAGTGCCAAAGAGGGATCTAACCCTTCATCGGATATTCCCAGTATTGAAAACACTTTGTCCCGTGGATCGGTAACGTGACTTACCACTATAAATGAGCCATATCACTAAACGAGCCACTCTCAGCAAAACTGCCTCAACTTGCTAGAATCTAATTAATTCCACAACAATGAAATAAATATTAATCAGATTATTAAATAGTAATGAGAGCATTCTCTAGTTCCATACAAAATAGGTGGTTTAATAAAATAGATGTGTGCTTGACTGAAGAACACAGCCATGACAGGAGACCCAGCATGGAGTAAAGAAATTAATCAAAGAAGTGTTAATTTCTGAATTAGTAGTAGAAGCAGCAGTAAGCTGCTCCAGGGGATTGAGGTTGACCTCATTTTCTAGACTGGAAGGTCAGATAGGGTTTAAAGGATTAGAATCTGCTGTAGGCACCTGCTTCTGCTATTGCTTTGAAACAGCTGTAGTTGAACTGACTGATTTTCACATTGCAGTGTGAGTATAAGTCTGTTCTTGCTTCTCAGCTTCAAGCTAAGCCTTTTTAGCCTCTCTAGCAAGCTGCTAAGCTTCATGCTGCTCTGCCTTTCTAGCCTTCTCTTCCTCACAGGCTTTGTAAGCTGCTGTCTGAGCTGCTTGTCATTTAATTCATTTTTACTAAGTCTTTTCAGCTTCATATTCTTTTCAGAGATCATATTGAAGTCACTCATGGGCTTGTTGAGCAGCTTTCTCCTCTTTTTCATGATCTGCTTTCTAAATCCTCTCATGAGCTTGTTGAACCTTAGATGATGAGAAGAATTGAATCTGGCCATGCAGCTTCTTCAGATTCAATAGACCTAAGAACTTTTCATGCTGTCATCACTTCTTTTCATTGCATAAAGCTTTAATTAGAGCCTTATTCTCATGTGCAAGCATCTTCTTTTCAAAGATAAAATTCTTACTAGCATGTACAATCTTTTTTATATCTTTAAAAAGCAGACTTTATTAAATTCAAATTCTCTTAATATCACATTGAAGAGCATGAGTAGTTGTATATATAGCAATCTCAGTTGAAGCTGAATTGACTGGAGATATACACTGTTTTATAAATCAGTGAAAAACACATTTAGAAGTAAAAAAATATATATACATGACAGCAAATGCAGATTGAATATTCTTAATGGTTAAAAACTAATCCCACATAAAATTGAAGACTAATAAAAAGCTTTTTTTTATCATTCAAATAAATTCAAATCTGCTGCAAGAAAGATTATTGACATCATAAGAGTATGCTTCTGCTAGAGGACTAAAGATGTCAACATTCAAAGATTGCAGTCAGTGAGTTGAATGTAAAGATAATACTGTGAGAAGGATTTAATTTTGATCTGCAAAATTAATAAATCTCATATTGACATGAGAAGAGTGCTCATCTAGTATAAGAAGATGTCTTTCACAGTCTGCTTTAGTTTTGATATGCTCATCAAAGATTCACTTCAGTTAGTTAAGTCTATAGTCATTATTACTTTAACCTTCTCAGAAACTGTAAAATAAGCTGTATTATCCTCATTCAAGTCCTCTAGCTATGTATCTAACATATTGTGAGACTCTTCTTGATAAATAAGAGTGAGTGGAAGAGCTATTTCATCTGCATATATTGCTGCAAGTAGAAAGATGAATTCACAGCTGTCATCTTGAACTGCAGTAATTCACTTTGTCTTCAGAGCTTCAACTGGAACAATCTGCTTAATAGTCTGGCAAATGCCAATTAAGAAGCCCTTTTCATCAAAATTGTAGATATATGATGACTCAATATTGTATTTTTTGATCTTTTCATTCAACTATGTAGTCATACAGCAAAATAGTTAACAAGAGTCTATAGAGAACTTAGTGCAAGAAAACAAGCAAAAGATCAAAATACTAGTTGAAAATAATGCTCAAAATGAGTAGAATTATCTGCTATCTTGTGTTTTTGATCAATGTCATGGACATGAATTCTTTGAATTTGAGCCTTATAGTGCTCAGTAAAGTGCCTTACCCAGTGGATTCCAACAGATTCTTTGATGATTTCCACAATGAGATTTCAAATTATTTGAGGCACAGGAGCAAAGCCATGAGCTGCAAGTTTCTCTATATGAAGCAGAAGTGTTTGTTCTTGCTGATTTGAGAGCTTCTTATGTTGGGAGACTGCTTCATCCTGCATGAGTTGCAAGCCATTACAACACTGATGCAGCATTTCCTTATTAATTGAGTGCTTCCTAGAAGTTGCAATGTAATTTTTGACCCTTTGAGCTCTTAAATCCTTAATTGCAAGTTGAATAGCTTCTTCATTTGACATCTTGAAGCAGTGGAAGTTGAAGAATTAAATTGCAGCGCGTCGCAAAAACGCGGCTCGTTTAGTGGTACAGCTCATTTAGTGGTAAGTCATGTTAACTTTAAAATCTCGAGATGATGCAAGCAACAATGTCAAATTACCCAGTGATCCTTCAACGGCTCCACCTCGAGATCCACTTGAAGGATGCTGCAGCAGGAAGATCATATTCCAAAATTCGAAGGGCATTCCTACCAGTATCTGATCCCGTTTCACGGCAACATATGGAGCCATTGAGATGAGGTCAAAGAAATTCATTTCTAGCCCCTCACACTTGGCTTTGGCCCATTTGCTTGCCACAACCTCCTGTATGCACCAATTTCGGATAAAATACGGGCGATCAAATAGTTGGTCTAGATGGTGAAACGCCTCGGGCGCTCCAATAGCCAGTCCAACAACCGCCTTTTGTAAAGTGTCTTTATCTGCACCACAGCTATCCCGCATGTGCGCGAGTCTCTCCGCAAGCTCAAAGGCCATTTCTGCCCCTGATGTCCAGCTCCCAAGCCATACAATAACTCGCGTAGCATGCTTGTATACCAGTCGCATATACCCTACTTGCCTTGACCGCTCATCGGCATTTGACTGGTCAATGCACAGAGCATCCACCCAAAGCAGCCTAGCTTGCGTCGGCAGTCGGAGACTCTGGAGCGCAGCGTCCAGGTTTGGCTTTATGACAATCGGACGGTCATTGATATATATGGGCGTCTGCGCCAACCCCGAGCCCCAGACATAAGAAAGAGCCTCATATGGCGGTATAGATGCGTAGCTGGGATCTAGAGCGTGGAATTACGAGGCTGCCACGAAGCGGCTCATATGCCTGCCCGGAATTGAAGAGAAATAGACGAGTTGAAAGGAGGGGTCTTGCCAACGGCGGCGATGAGTGGAAGGGGTTGATAAATGAATTGAGAGGAGTGGCTCTCCATGGCGACGGCGGGGGTGGGACTGCAGACTGTTGTCCAAGTCCACTGGACGCCTAACCTGGGAACAGGCAGCCTCCGGGAATAGCTAAACGTCCCGGGAACTTGGGAAGGTCATAGCACTCCCGTTGAAACCTGTGCTGCCCAACCTAATCCGTGCCAAATTCAGTCAGCTAACCTCCAAGCCAGAAAGAAAGTTGAAGTGGTCTGATGGGAGACAAATAAATCTCGAGATTTGCCGCTTTTCCGGATTGAAACTATGGTAAACTTCGTTCCTTGGGCGGTGGACAAGGGGGGGGAGAGGGCCGTTTCCCTAGCAAAGACAAAGGCAACCCGCAGAGACGGCCTGATCTTGGAGCAGGGGCTAAGTCCTTTCACCAGGTTAGTTAGTAGTTAAAACTTACGGAGGGGACTGTGCTTGAACCGCGAGAGAGATGAGCGATCTATTTGTCCGGCCAGAGGGTGGACAGCCTCCCAAAGTCTATTGATTCCACGCTGCAAATGTACCAAGGACTTGATTCCAGAGATTGCCTGGAAAGTTCCCGCAAATCAAGTATTGATCCACAAGTTGGTGGAGGGGCTATACGGGATTCCATCTACCCGCTCAACATCAATTCGTGAATACAATCAGGGGCATCGCGAGCACCGTTGCTGCCCATCAGCAAGCTCCACTAATTTTGCAGTTTACAGAGTATGGAGGAACCACAGCAGCATATTACTGCAGTCTTAACTAGCCTATATCAACATTTTACCCGGCGCATTTTACTCACTGCGTAGTTGTGTCTCTTCTCACATTGTCCATCGAGGCTTGCCCGGATAAGCAATAGAATGGGCTGCAAACATTTCAGCAGTGAGACGCACACAAGTGCCCGTCGGCTATTTCGAGGGCGTTGACAAGGTTTCTCCGGAGTAACTACTCTGCATGATTCCGGATCAGACGGACAAATCGTGTGGTACAGCCCATATGTGCGCCTTAAATGCACCTCAGCATAGCTTGGATGTTGCACAAATATTCCAAGGAAATTTGCTGTGAAGCCAGAACCTGGGGATGGAATTACATCGGAACGGGGATGAAGGGCATAAACTGAGATGCAACAGAATTGCTTGCTCTTCACGATAGGTTATGCACAACTGCTATGGAAGCTCAGCGAATGATAGTTATGGATCACATCCGCCGAACAAGGAAATTCTTCGGAGACCAGGGGCAAAGTTTGCCTGCATCTTGGGCGATATTGGCGTTAACAGTGAACTTTGTCAATTCATACCTTGGCCTAACTCCCACAAACACCGAGCATAGAGCTAGGGGGCAGTGGAGGAAAAATTAAAAATTAAAAAAAAAATTAAAGAATTAAAAATATACTACGAGGATAATGGCAATCCTAGGATCCATTACTAAGAGATAGATATTCAAAGAAACGGGTCCTGCAGATCGAGGTTGTGTTTGTTTGTTCTATTCTCATAAGTTTCTCAAAGCGACCATATCGATAAGAGAACAGCAGTGTCATAATTGTACAAAGTAACCAACACTTCCAGGCGCCTAACGCGGTTGCCGGCACAAGGATGCCTGTGGGTCCATCCGAGACCTCCAGAACAGTAACAGTCCGGCCAGCCCATATGATTTCGCAGCTTGATGAGCTCGCATACTGCGTGATGCCAGGTACCGCACATGTACGCCTCCTACATATCCTGTACACTGTACAATATTTGTTTCTTTCATTCATGGCATTGCCGAATATAATGCTCTGTATATTTTCGATGACGAAATCCTTCCGAGAGGTTTTCGGGGTGGTTCCTCCAAACCTGCTCAGGACGGTAGGGAGATCATCCCTCAATGATGAAACATGAGCATGATCATCAAATATGACGGGAATTGAAAACCTTCCTTCGATGACACTAGGAGAAAGGCAGGTATCGCCCCACCCCGCCATTGCGAAGTCCGCTACACTGTCACACAGACTTGTCATCATTCAAACCGATGGCGCTAAGATTGACGTATAGTTATGCAAGACGAATGGATGTGAACAGCTGCTGCAGCACGTCAACACCCACAAACGTGTGACAGTGGCTGGCTGGAATCCACTCCATGGGCAGCTCAGAGCACGCAAGCTCAGCCACGAATACCCCATTGCCAGCCATAAAGCTACTGCAGAGCGTATGGAGCGCACTCTAAAAAACGTCCTGCTTAGATACGGGATCCCTGGTCGAAAAGCATTCTGACAAATCACAGGTCCAAAGAACGGGAAAAGAGCCGATGCCCTTTCGTTATTGTGAACAAACGGCGATCAGGTCACTGGCGTTTTAGTAATCTCCTGTGGAACAACTGGCGCAGTCCCGGTTTTTATTGGGTAGCTTCTGAGAGCTTTGGCCAGTTAATTGTGTTCCGTGACGCGTCCGGCAAAGGGGATTGATGTAGACATGGCATCCAGAGATCTCTTCCTGCCCGACTCTACCTCTAGAAGTATGTGCAGTACTTGGAGAGACAACGTGTGAGGTGGAATGAAATGAGAATTACATGTCTTTATTATTTTCCTCTTTCAGCAGCCTTTTCGAACACCAGCATTTGAGCTTGTGAGAACAGTGACTACTGCAAGCAGCCTCTCTCAAGTTCTCCGAGTCTATCCTCTATTAAATATCCCTTCAGTCTTCATGTACTCCACATGTTATGTACTACTGTATGTACTATGTGCGGACAAGGGACAAGGGGACATGGACATGGTACATGGACATGGACATGTATGTATGTATGTATGTACCAGGTACGACAAGGATTGACGTGGCTACTTCTGAAGGCCCTTCAGCTATTTTCTGGCCCAGGCGTATGCTCCACTACGAATAAGCTTTGTCACTACCGCCGAACCATTGAAGTCAAAAAAACAGCCAATTGGCAGCATGGCCTCGGCGAGCTTTTTTGAGATTGGATGGTCCTGGCGTGGAGCTTAAGACAGCAATGCTTGGAATCTTTCGCGTTTTGCTGTCTCGAAGAAACACACTAAACGGAAGAAGCTGCAGGCATTAACTCAACCCTAGCAGCCAGGGAAAGTTCACTGCTGTTGTTTTCACCTGGTTGTCTCTGCAATGTAGATCTCGAATAATGATCTCGACACACCTGACCAATGGGTCAACGCCAACTTCCCCCTCCCGATGAGAAGAGAGAAACCCCTGCCATCAGGCGAAGGAAGATCTATCACATCAACGATCCCGAGGCTATCAAGCTTCGCTGTTCAGATGAACCACATCAGTCAGGATACACGGTATTCGGCAAATGGGCAGTTGACGATACGCCACTGGACTAATTAAGCTTTGCTCTCTTCGAGTTATTCTCGATTGTGTTGAATGTCTTATCATGGATGGGTTATAAACTACCTCATGAGAGAGCAATATTCTGATGTTTCCGGTGTACTGGCAGCACTGCAGTGATTGACTCCGTTTTGAGCTGGGTTCGCTTGGCTGAGAGTGCCAGTTTCTTCAGATATTTCCGATCTATACAAACCAAGTAACTATATAAAGAGCCAACTGTGTGCCCCGCTGTACTATACATATAAAGTCGACATATCATAACAGGAAAAGTACTTGTATTCATGCGTAATTCACCTGTTTGCCATTTGTATTCCTTAGAAACTGCTGTATCAGCCCAACAGATAGTTAACTAACAGGTCAACAACCGAACATTAACCCCAAACCTTCCCCGAACATTCTTCCGTATTTTGTGAAGATACCTACTGGTCTGAGAATATATGTGCATTAGTTCCGCATGGATATTGTCATAGTGATTGATGCTCATTACCCGTTCTGGCAAGTTATTGGCGCCGTAGTAGTTGCGATTATGACTGGATGGAGACAAGGTTCAAGATCATACGATGGCGCATTGGCAACCGATTTAGCGTTTCGTCAGGGTCTGTCACATCTGTGGAGACAAGAACAAGCAAGGTGCTAATGACTCGGCAACTAACGAGGGGTGTTCTCCACAATTGGATCTGGCGTCTTGTCGTAACTGGATCCACAAAAAGCTCCAGGATACGGAGCGAGCAATACGTTCATTTCTTGTCCGATTGGCATCAACTATGAACAAGGATAACCTGTCAGCCCCAAGCTGACACTTTGCTCTCTCAGCTCACCTCGCATGTGTAGTTCATACGCGGTCAGTCCCGGTGCAGTTTATAATCGGAAAGCAAGAGAAGCCCTTTGAATAAACTGGCCGAGTTCTTACCCGGCTACACAAGAGAATGAGAAAGAAAGAAGGAAAAGGAAGAAGAAAAGAAAAGAAAAGAAAAGGGTATAGATGTATATATATAGTAAACGTGGAAAGAAGTACAAGTAATACAGATATAGCATGTAAATAAGCGTACCTTCAACCGACCGATCTGCAGAAGAGAGCTAAAAATCGCAGGATTCGAGTCGCAGTCGGCCAAGGGATCTCTCGTTTCAGTGTAGGTTTATATGTCAAAGTGCCCCTCAGCATGTCCGCCTATTTGGTCTGACTACGTTCTATGGAATGACGGTCTCTGTGCAGAGCCGAGATAGCTATTTACACATACATCAAGTACTCTACAGTACGGAATACATACATATGGGTAAAGTTAATGGTGGTTTGAACGAAAGAGTCATGATAAGTGAGTTTGGTCAGATGAAACGACTGCGAACCGCCCAGTCAGTCAATGGCAAGGGGGATTCCATGCCGACTGGTGGGTGTGACGGTACCACAACAGGTGCATCGGTTTCAGGAGGGTTAGATTGAACTGACGACATGTACAGCGGCGAGAAAATCTAGATACAGCTGCTATGTAGGGATGCTTGGGGGTTGAACTAGATATTTAAGTTGAATTGTGTTGGTCGAGGCTGAAGGACGAAGTGCACGCCGCAAAAGCCTGACTGAGTTCATAATCCCCAACAAGCAATCAAGGAGTCGGTAACCAACGTCTATGATCCAGAGAAACCGGAGTCATTCCCTGCTGCACGACCTCGGAGGTTAGGTGTGTGGTAGGGATGATTGTGCAACAACTGCAAGGATGTCAACACGACGAAATACTGTAAATATGGATATATTAAGTATTAACGCCAACATCTATGGATGTAGTAATGTATGTAAATATATCGAGGTCATCATGCCCAATGCTGTAATATCCCAAGTCCGGTCATCCAAAAACAACCCCGTCCAGAACCCAAAGTAATAAGATAAAAATAAAAATATATAAAATAAAAATAACATAAAAAAGGGGGGGGAAGAAAGAAAGAGTCAAAAGGCAAGCTGCGTATATCTCAGCGAGAGAAAAAGAGACGCAATGGAAATGAGCCGCAATGCTGCGCAATAAAACCTGAATATCACACATAATTACCAATGAGCGCCCAATTTTTCCAAGCACGCTATGGGCATAAAACTTTTGATGAAGTCGCCAATTCATGTACAGTAATGGCGGGTTGAAAAGGAGAACGATGGTGTTCCACTGAAAAGTGAATTTGCGCAACAGGGATTCCCGTATGATGGAGAGTAGAGACAGAGAGATAGAAGCTGTGTGTGGGTGTGAGTGGGAAATTTGTCTCGGGTCGAGAATTTGCAATTGAGTCTTCTACTTGCTCGAATTCCGCGAATGCTAACTTTCCCCTGTGGGTTTTGTTTCAGTATATTCATGGTTACTATCATTTACCGATGGCAGAGCGCTTTTACAGTCAGAATTGGTTTCTGGAACCTTGAGCGAGGTGTTTGTGGGAGTAGCAGTCAGAGCTTTCTTTTCTGAGTGCGGTTGTATTGTTGAGTCATGTTGTCTCATAAAGGATAATTCCTTTCTTCGTTTCATTTGGGGTTGTCGTCGTACGAAAGGAACGCTATCGACTCTGGGGGATTTGGATTTTCCGATACCGTCTGGACGGACATGCGCTGAGGCAGCGCGTCTCCAAGCTTTAATCTTAGGGTCTAGCTGAAGCAAATCTGCGTCGGAATTTGGTGACATCGCTGTTGGTCCCGGGGAGGGATGCGTGCATTGCTCGCTGGAGATTGTTTCGCCGTTGTCAGCATAGTCGGAGCCTCCGTCACCTATGAGGAAGAGATGGGATGGGCAGGACTGGGTCATATCGGAAGCAACGTAGCTCCATGGAGTCATGGGATTGCTTTCTGAAGCCGCTGAACTTGCCTGTGTTGGCCTCTCCCCAGGGAGCGTTTTCGCAGATGGATCACTCGCAGAAATCGGGGATTTTGCAAAACCTGTCTGGCATGATATGGACGCATTAATGGCGCTATTGGCGGTCGAGCTGGTAACGGGGTTTGGATGGCCATAGGAATGAACCGAAGACAATGGGGATGGAGTTGTAAGGTGATGGAAAGAATGGTTTGTATGATTACCAAGCTGCCTGTCGTTCGGTATGGTACTCGACGAAATCCAATCTGCTGCAACACGGTGTGCTTCAAGAATTGTTGAATCTTTTAATATGTGATGTTTGGTATATCCCGATGGCACCATCCATCCCTTGAGATCACTCCAACCAACCTTATCGGAAAAGGACGCCGCTTGAGTGGCCGACGGGTCGTTCACAGTGGTCAATTCGAGTCGACCCGGGTGTTTCACGGTAGGGCATACTGTCGGTCCATCGTTCTGCTTCTTCCTCTTTTGACGCGAAGGTTTGGTAACTCCCCACTTCTTCAGTCGACTGCGGAGTTGGGTTTCACTGTGTTTGGTTTGGATCAGATTACATTCCGTTGCATATCGGGGGACAAAACGAGCATTCTTACGTCGGGTTGAAATCGTCGCTCCGAATTTTCTTGATGACTTGCTTCAACGGCCATTCTTCTTCCTTGTACAGTGCTGCAATCTCAGCGCGTTTGTTCTCCCAAACTTCGGATGGGATAGACGTCTTCATTCTCACAGGAGTTGTGAAGAATTGCGGTAGAATTCTACTTGCGTTTAAACGAAATAATGGGTTTAGTTGCGGATACTTAGATGCTTTGCAACAGGCCATTAAATGCGAAAAGCCATTGATATCATTCCTTGCCAAATTGTGAGTAACGAAATAAGCGGCAATTACTAGAAAATGCAGAGGTTAGAGAGAGGAATGGAAACATCTACAAGGCCGGATATGAAATTGAAGAAGTAGCGTAATGAAGTACGACAATATCATTCGAGCTAGTGTGCACGGAACCAGGCCGCCTCAAGAGCACCCGTCTCGCCAGTTGCATCAATAGCTGAGTAGCGCACTATCAGGAAGAAACGCAACAACCTGGCCAGCCACAAATTCTATAACCAGACTAGCGGTAATTGGAAATGGGAGCGATTGCCAAGCCGAGGTAGACTTACAGTCGGCACCGCTGGCTAGCTTCATCGATTCGATGTCAATCAATCACAACATATTCTGCAAAAATAACAAGGTCCAGAGCATGAGGTAAAGAAACAGTGGCACTAATGCCAGCGTTATCATACCCGCAGCACAAGGCACGATGTGACAAGGAAAGTCATCAAAATAAAAGAGCAAGGAAAAGGACCTTGGCGGTTCACCAGGCTGATCCGATCCATATGGATGTCAAGTCCCGAGAGAAGTTGATTGAGATTAGGATGTACAAAACCTATTCAGAGCGTCTATACGACTAGCAACGTCATGTCACCCTTCCAAAGTTCCAAAGGTATCTCTATCCCCTGCAGATTTCACCCTTAGACTTTTGGCAGGAAACAAGTTTCCCATACATACTTTCCAGCAACACTAGTAATTGGCGCTGGGGTGGGGGCGACAAAGAAATTTACCAGAGCCCAATCACGTTCAGCAGCCAGCTGGTCGGTTTTCGCCTGGTCCACCGAGTTGAAGGTTGGATCTGTCGCAAGCCAAGACAATGTATGTATGTACATCGGGAGTACACATCTCCCACCTGGGCATATTGCATCTTTGCACAGTTGGAAGTACGGGCGGGCTGCGTAAGAATTCCATTAGCATAGATCTCTTCAAGGTTCTGTACTGGGATATAAAAGTTCAGCGCGAGATTGGCCGTTTGCTAGAATATAGAGCCAGTGGCCTGAGTTGGCGCATGATAAGTGATGCTGCTGCCCTTAGCAATCAGCATGGGGACTGATGGTTGACCTCAATAGAGAATCGGGGAGGACTGAGTTTATCCCGCTCAAAGGATATCGATCTCCATAAGCAGCTAACCCTGCCTTAAACAACTAGAAAAATGAAATCTATACGTGGTTCATTACGCTATGTCTGTTTCGTTGGACATAAAAAAGGTTCCAAGGACCAATTAAAAAATCATCGAAGTTTTTATGACTGTGCGTTTTAATAGGGCAAACCAGCCATGAATAACGGAAACCCGCCTACAGAATGGTTCCGAAGGTCACTGCTCCACACTGAGCCAAGCAGAAATGGACATGAGGGAAAAGCCACAAGCGCATTGGGTATGTTGGGTTTTCATACACCGTCCCGTTGTATTTTGCAATACGAACGTGTGCTTCTTGGGGTAAACAAGGGGGTAAGGTTTAGTTAGCCACTAACTACCTCCTTCGAACCCATCAGCTGCCCAAAATCCCGAACGTCGATCTTCTTCCCGTTGGCTTCGCTTCCCTGGCATTCCTCTCGCAGGACTACGAGGGTACCAGCTGTCAAATATTTCGTTTTCAACGACTTAACTAAATCAACCAAGCGATTTTTTCCAGGCTGGCTGGATTGAAATAAATCATCAGTCGTCGTTGTAGTTGAGCAAGATTTGCTGATAATTTCAACAACTGCTTAGTCGAGTTAGCCGGGGAAGCTGTCGACCACGGTAGCGTCATTACAACCCTGCCTGGATCTCTGTCACTCTGAGGGGAAAATTCCTAGAGATGGCATTCTCGGTGTTCTGAATAGCATTTCGGACGTTGAAACGCGCAGAAAGTATCCGTATTTCATTATCGGACGCAAGATCTTACATAGGAAAGCTTGGAAGAAAAATCCGATATATCACATCGGAATCGTTCTTGGCTAAACCCGATTTATCATCCTCACGAAGATTGTGGCTTGCGACGTCTGAGGAAGTGTTCCTAGCTAATTAGCCAACCCCGGATAACTAAAGCAAGTCAGGGCAATGTCCGAGAATCAGGAGTTCCAAGGAATAGTGACAGCGATCCCTGACACACCCATCATTACTCCGCGAACCACGATTCGATAAAGATATTTCGTGAAACGGACATCACTTGGACCCGGGAACTCTGAGGGACTATAAATATCGAGTTGGATGGCTGTGCATGTCTCGAAATCCAGAGATGGTGCATGTGATAATGGAAGAGGCTTCCAAAAACTTCCAGTTCGTCGGCTTGTCACGTGCAAGAACTTCTAGCTGCCCGGACGGAACCTTGGAACACTCTTCAGAGGGACGATTAATGCGCTCTGATTCCGAGAATTATTGAAGAGTTAGGATTGATTGACGGGTATGGCTATGAACAAATGAATGGAGCTCTGTGGCTCGAATTTATTCCCACAGCATTCAAGAAGAAAATAAAAGACACTCATGTCGAGATTATATATGTATATATAAATATATATATATATATATATATATACACCAGACGAACGGTTGGTTCATGGACCGCGATATCAAAGCACAGCAGGATGCGAATTAGCTAATAATAAGAATACAGAAGAGGGAAGGAGAAAACAATCATCATCTATGATGCGGAACTCTTTCTCTTCGTTCTTTTCCTTTACCACTAGTCACCAAGCCATTAACGCCAGAGCAAACCAAAGTATGAGAAACACCGTTTGCTATCTTCAAACAACCAGATCCGTGGTACATCATGCAGAAAATAAACAACCAAAAAAAAAAAAAAAAAACAAAAAGAAACAATTATTCAAGGGCCGATCACCTGTTTCTTTTGATTCGATGCTCTTGGCCCCTCCTTGACATTTTCTTTCTTTTGTCCGGGGGTAGAACTAAGGGCTCATCTTTCAAATGCCACTCCATGAAGCGGATAAGATAGTCATCGATATGACCCGGTTCGTGCTCTCCATCTGCACCCTGAACGGCTGGCGATCCCGGACATGCGGGAGTGTTGGCATTTCCTGCATGGGGAACAGACGGTTCGTATTCTTCAACTTCAGCTGCCACGGGTGACCCTGCTTGACTGAACCCAAGTTGCCCTGGGGTGTGTGGAACACTACCCTCCTCGAAGTCGCCATCATCTGCGTGCTCCAGTTCCTTCTCAGCGTTCTTTGCGGCGTCGATGTCTTCTTTATCCTCTGCCTGTTCGAAAGCTCGAGGAGTTCCAACAACCTTCGTATCAAGAACTCGATCCATGGCTGCGCTTGCTTCATCATTACCACCCGCAACGTCGTCACCTAGCATGTCCCGAACATCTAACTTTTGGAAATAATCTGTGGTGAATTCACCTTCTTGAATAATTACATCGTCGAGCATTCGTTTTTGATTGGCTTTGCGTAGAATGTTGGATTCAATGGTGTATTCAGAAACAAAACGGTAGATGTGCACGTCGCGAGTTTGGCCGATTCGGTGACATCTGTCTTGGCACTGCTTATCCATAGCAGGGTTCCAGTCCAGGTCATAGAATATGACTGTATCAGCCCCAGTCAAATTGATCCCTAAGCCACCAGATCTGCTAGAGAGAATAAATGCTAAGATTCGGGTATCGTTGTTGAACCGTTCTGTTAACATTTGACGCTGCTCCACCTTTGTAGCTCCATCAAGACGGAGGTAGCGGTGGCCATGGATATTGAGAAACTGCTCCAGTATATCAAGCATTTTTGTCATTTGGGTAAATATCAAAGCACGATGGCCACCTGATTGCAATTTCCTGAGAAGCTTGTCGAGTTGCTGAAGCTTTCCACAATCGTACTGCAGGAGCCTCTTATCCGGAAAGGCGATGGACAAGCGCATCTGTGCCTCATGAAAAGGGTCGTAGTCCGGGACCTTTTGTGACATGCTCAGGCATCGAGATTCAATTGGTGTTAGAGCCGCACCTGTTATTTCTGAGGCGACAGCGGCGGGTGTGACGAATGCAAATTTCTGTATAATGGTTTCCATCGCCAAAGACCTCTCATTCAAAGATAAAATCATTGAAGAAATGGCTGAAGACTGCTGCAAAAAGAAGTCAAGAAGTGGGCGGCGCGGAGGTAGCCTTGGAGACTTTGTCTGGATACCAGGATTGACGGTAAGAAAGTCAATGAGACTTTTCCCGTACACTGGGTGTTGTCCATGGCGTTTCGACTCGAAGTAAAGGCATCTTTCTAGCTCTTCCATTCTCGTTTTTCGCGATGAATTTTCCATTGAAAGCAATGCTGATTGAACCGAAGAGCCGTCAAAATCCATGTTCCAGTTTGTGCGGTTATACTGGCGCTCGCGAAGTGTCCGGAGGGGAATATAAGCTGCAATTCGCGAGGTATCATCCACAAGCCTCTTTGACGTTTGTTCTCTTGATATGGGAACTAAATTTAAGAAGTCCAAATCTAACTTGCTCAACGGACCCTCGCTTAATAGTCGGCGTCGTACAAACAGCTCTTTGATTTCAAAATCGGCAATTGCCGATTTCGGCATCGAAAAAGAAGTCGTTATCTGTCGCGTCTCAAAAAGGTCGGGGTGATTACAGACCTTCCGCAATTGCATTAAACAGTTGATGATAGACAAATAATTTCCAGATGCCAATGTTTCTTTGGTTTGCGCTCTCGACATGAATCCGTCATATAAGTATCGTTGTCGCTTTGAGAGTCGGCATGTTACAACATGTTCAAACTTTGCGGGCATTTGTTTTTCTACATCCACCTTAAGACGGCGTAAAATGTAGGGGCGCAGCACGGTGTGTAATTTCGTAACCACTTTTTTGGCTTCATCATCCATGGTTTCTCTCCCATGTTCGAGAATTTGCTCTACGGGTCGTCGAAACCATTCGGAGAAGTTTCGAAGATCGGCAAATCCTTCAACGCCAGTGTCACTACCGTCAGACGGCATGAGAAAGAAAAGAAGGGACCATAGTTCAGTCAAATTATTCTGGAGTGGCGTGCCAGTCAAAAGCAGTCTTGCCTGGGTTTTGAACGTGAGCAGTGTCTGCCATCTCTGGGATCGGAAATTTTTAATATTATGTGCTTCGTCAAGAACCATGTAATGCCAATTCCGTCTCTTAAAAGTTTGTTGATCTTGGAGTACAAGCTGGTAAGATGTGATGCAGACGTGCCAACGGTCGTCGTCCATCCAGCCTTTGCGCTTCTGCCTTCGCTCCTCTTGAGTGCCATAATATGTAAGGATTTTGAATCCAGGGCACCACTTTTTAAACTCCATTTCCCAATTTAACATTACACTGGTTGGGACAACAACTAAATGCGGTCCCCACACCTCATGTTCGACAGCTAAGTGTGCCAAAAGCGCTATCGTCTGAATGGTTTTTCCCAGGCCCATTTCATCTGCAAGAATTCCATTTATATTGCTGGTGTACAAGCCTGCTAGCCAGTCCAAACCAAAGTGCTGATATTCTCGCAACGTCCCGCGAAGAAGATGCGGGATTGGTGTATTGATTGGTAGAGGTGATTTCGGAGCAGAATTATCAGTCTGATTCTGGTCCTGGTCGTCTTGGTTCGGTTCATATGAAGAAACAGATTCAACATCTGACGTCTTTGTAGCCAAGGTGTCCGGCGAGGGCTGACTGCTGGCATCTCTACTTGGCCGAACATTGTTCGAAACTTGAGCGGTATCATGCTTTCCATTCTCCTTACGATCCTTTGGAGAGGTTTCGTCTTCTGGAACTTCAAGCTTCAATGGCTGAGGCTCTGCCGATGCATGTCCTGAGAATTCATGTTCTTGCACATCAGGTTCATCTGGTCCGTTGGAAACAACGAGGCCTTTATCGTCATCATCCCCACTGTCTTCACGCCTCTCACTAGCTCCCTCCTCGTTCCTTATAGTTATTTCCTCGGGTTCTACCATTTTAGTGGAGAAAAATCCAAGTAATCCAGGACTCTCTTCATCACTGCTAATTGCCTCATCATTGTCACTTTCGTCCGAACGGGAATTATCCTCATCACTGTCTCCCATGTCATCATCCATGTCTGTTGACTCTTCATCGCTATCATCCAGAAGTACTGAATCAACTTCTTCCAAATCTGCATCATGGTGTGCGAGTTCGTTCACAGGCGGCAAATAAAGACCCCTGCCTTCGTCGTTAAGTTCTAGTTCTGTAAGTGAACTGCGGATGGACGGCGAACGTTCCTGCTGCGATTGTTTCGATTGATCATCAACTCCAATGTTACTTGACGCTAGATGCGCATATTTGATCCGGAGTTGTTCTGCGGTCAAGCCTTCGTCGTCATTAGTTCCATCATCATCATCATCCCCCTCACTCTCAGACGTCGACATGTTGCTTTCATCTTCCGTTTTCTCTTGGCTTGATTGATCCCTCTCCGAGCCCGTTTCAGTGTCATACTGGCTTTCTTCAAGTTCGGTATCATACGATCGATCCGGCCTTCTCATTTCAAACAACAGAGTGGATTGTTTGATGGCTTTGTTCAAGGCGAGTTGATCCTCTGCCTTTTTCTGCTCTTCCCATCGAGCCAACCGGGCTCTCTCTACTTCTGCACGAACTGCATCAAATTGACGTTGTAAATCTTTAACAAGATGCTTACGTTTCTGCCGTATATCTTCCTGCTGTTCCTTTAATATATCCTCTGGAAGTTTATTTCGCTTCCTCCACTCCTCTGCGCACCACTGGGCAAATAATTTTGCAAGGTGTCGATGCTGTTTGCGCTCCTTATCAAGTAATTTCTTGAAGTACAAGGCATGAGCGACAAGATGATCTTGGTGAGAATACTGAGGTGGAGGTTCCTCGGCTGGATCGGTAATGTAACGGGAACAACGCTCCTTACTTAGAAGTTGACCAGGCTGACCGGCTTCCCAAACCCTCGTTCTCATGCGTGCCTCGATTAGGGCAGCTTCGGGAGTTGAGAAGCCACCCTCGTCTTCTGTTAAGGTTTCATTTTCTACCCATTCCCGGAATGACGAGTACTTCTTTTCGGGCAACACATGAGATGGGTGTTGAGTAGCTAGTGAGGGCATTTTGACTTTAAATCGCAGCCTAGGCAGTTTCTGGATCGAATTCCATCCTGCTTGGCCCTCCACATCCTCAGATCCCTGACTTTTACCACTTGCATGAGAATTTTTTACAGACACTGGAGACATGTTTGCAGGGGTAACGTGGCCTCTCTGGGACTTGTGACTATTCTTGGTGTTAGTTATTGGGGTAATGGACTTGTTATGAGCGCTGGACGAAGCAATACTTGGGGCTCTGTTTCTCAAAGTTGCGCTTTTGGAGACAGAAGTTTGTGAATTGCGTTGTTTCGTTAGCGGGGTCCTGGTATTCGGGCTTTTTAAACCATCCTTCCTAGGAGAAGTGCCCTCGGATCCTATAGTAGTAGTTTTACCAACAGATAATCGTCTCCCATTTGTTCCGGACTGAGATGCCATCGCGACCGTGGGGGGATTGCCATGTCGCGGGGAGCGATTCGGTTTTGCCCGATTCACATAGTCCTGGTGGGCGGAACGGGTTTGTCTCTTATCTGACGGAAGCAGCTCGAGCGGCACCGCGTTTGTCCTGGATGACTTCCGCCTTCCGCCTTCAATGAAAGACGTTGGCCCATCAACAGAGACGCGTTTCCATGGGGGAGATACCGGACGCGGCGTACTTCGACCGGAAGGGTCTGCAATTTTCCGTTTTTTGGGCGGGGGTCCAGGGAGGACGTCGTGGCAGTCATCATCGTGGCTAGGGCCATTTGGAACGGAGTCGCCTACAGCAGAATCAAGAAGCGCGTTTTGGAGGGCAGAGAAGTGAGATTTGTCTTCCGACTCGGAAGTTGCGCTATCGAGATGTTGCTGGGACGTGCCGTTAAGGCTGCCGTTTTGCATTTCTTTTTCGGTGGAAAGGGGCGCAACCCGCTCCAGACCCCAACGATCCCAACGAAAACGCGTTGAAAATACCTGAATGTACCATCAATCAATAGCTTTCAGGTTTTCAAGTCGGCACAGAAGGTTTGGCATCGTTATCGGCAAATTTGCGTTGCTGGCGACAGAAAAACGGGCTTGTGTCGTGGTCTGCGCGAGAAGTGGTTTTTCGCTGACTAGCGAGTCAATTTCCTTCCGAATGCGATTACATAACCATCACCTGACCACTCTACAGGTGTCCAATTTCCCACTAGCTAAAAAGGCTAAACCGCATCCGGACATGACCTTCAGGCGTTTAAGGGACATCTTATTTATACAACGGAAGTTCTATTGCCAGCCTGTAGTCTGTGTTGCAAGACTCCAGCTATCCCCATTTTAGCTTTCGATCCTGTTTTTGGCGAATTGTCGAATGAACATCTATAGTGAGTAATCTTTAATCTACAAGACATTGGTGCAATTGCTAACTTCCCCGCACTGCCAGATGTTGAGGCAATTTGCCGCGGCGGTAAAACTGCCCTCACGAGCGGTCTACCAGGTCCCCCACGCTTGTTTATCCGTCTCACAAGTTCGATATGCCTCTCAGGCTGCAGTAGACGATCCAGAGATGGTGTGTTGCTTGCTACTCGCTTCCACCGGTTTTCTGTAGCTGATAAATTGTCTCTCCAGAACAACAACTATTACAACCCGCCAGGTCAGAAACGCCAATTCCGCGACCCATACGGCGACTGGTGGGATAAGCAGGACCGAAGAAACTTTGGAGAGCCTGTTCATGAAGACAACGATATTCTGACTATACTTTCCACGGAAACATATACGCATTTTAAACCAGGGAAAGGTTTATTCTTGTTGGGATGCGCCGCTGGTTCCGTTCTCCTCTTCAGCGGAATTATCAGCCTTTGCTACTCCGACAAACCCAGTGCCCCTCGCACATTCCCGGATGGGCTGGAAAGGGAGCTTGGAGGGCCTAGCACTGTCCGGGTATGTTTGAATACTATGATGACAGTTTAATTTTTATGGAAGCTGACTCTCACTCAAGGCTCGGAGACCGGAAGAGGACAAGTGGTGATTGTTTCGCGGAGGCATATGATTTCTTTTTATATGTAAATAAAGCGGCAGTTATAACTACGTCCAACAAATATATTTGTTTTTCGATGTTGAGTTTGAATTGCTACGGTTATAGTTGATAATGGGTTTAAAAGTTGACTGTGGTCTTCTATTGCTTGTAGCTGGGAGGCAGATAATTTTAGCAATCATGCATCTTTTTTGACTTTTTATCTCTCTGATACAAGTCCTGATGACAGTACATGTCATGAAAGATAAATAAATTCACTGATACACACATTCCTCAGCATGACGCGGGATTGAATATGATCATCCTCATGAGATTGTGTTCAAAACTTGCTGCTTTGTTGTCAGGGACAACCTGTTTCATTCACACATTAGAATCAAGTGCAGCTCATCAGAGCTATTTTTATAACTCTTGTTGTCAAACATTATTTTCACACAGTTTCTGCAAGTTGTAAACATGATATTGTGCAACAAAAACAAACAAGCGATTTATTTGTTTGTTGACAGTCTATTTGACCAACAACTGCAGCATGGAGTAAATAAGCTCGAGAAATAATATGGATCTTAAAATATCCACCAGTTCTTTGTTTCCTAGAGGGAGCATTACATTACTTCCACCCCGGAATCTCCAACTTCTACTCTCCCCACTACCAACCCACGAGGGATCAAGTCGACGCAGGCACGGAGTGCACTAGCTTTTATAGGTCTAATAGTATTTCCCAGGATACACAGACAATTCATAAACCCTCCTCGTATTCCGCATCTCCGGAGCGTGCAATCAAATAGATAGATGGGTAGCCTCCTTTTGCCTTAGGTGGTTGCCAAGCCACCAGTCCAACCCAAACCTGTCTTTCGTCAGCAACGTCACGGTTAACTTACTAGTTAGTTAGAATACTGGATAAAATAAGCACCTGTTCCTTTTCCAAAATGCTCTTCGCCCCGTTCGTTTCAGATTTTAACTTAAATAGTTCGCTTATCGAACATCATTTTTGTTGATACTCTTCTTCGATCAGTCATCGACGCAGAGTGTACAACCATACATTACACCTTCTCAACCCACTCGCATAGTGCATACGGTACCGTTTGATTCAACGACGCCCGGTCCGTCCAACAGGGAGTAAGACTAACCTGTTATTCGATCCCCAGCCCCGTTGTGCGCGTCTCGCTGAACTCCATGACCGAATCTCTTCTTTCTTGCTGCTCACCCACCTCCTGCTTTGGATAGATAAAAGGGAAAAAAGGTTAGGAGGCGCATGCAAAGGTCTCATGTCGACAGCATCAACACGTTCTCGCGGCTTCAGTAGGCGGCTTGATAGCCAGAGCAGCGAGAATACAGACCGCCGTTCACGAAATGTTTCGATTGCACGAAGGAGAACTATCAGCTACAATGATGCGTACACATATGCACTCCGAGTTGCGTATCTCGCCTATCTTCTCCAACCAAGAGCCCGTCGTAGACAAAGTGTAGCAGTACCTCGTCCTCGTGCTCAGAAGTCGTCAGTCTCTATAATTAGCGACCTAAGTTTGGTTAAAGATCACAAAAGCACCAGATTACCTCATGGGTTTGTGGGTCGACTCGAAAATCGATTGACAGGAGTATTCAAAGGGACTGAAAAGGAGAAAGCGTATCAGGATGAGGGAGTGAGGAGAACCTTTGCGGCATTTTTAAACGAGTTAAGGGAACCAGGTTTCAACAAACGCATGAGAGAGGAAAGACGTGCAGAGCCTCTAGTTTTAATATTTTTCTCCAATGCTACAAAGGAACTATCTAAAGGCCAATCCCCCGATGATATAAGCTGGAAGCTCATGGTTGATCGGCATGTTGCTCTATTCGTGAGAATCATCATCCTTATTCTCAGAGATCATGGCTGGGACAAGGATAGACCTGAACTCGCTAGCCAGCTCTCTGTCTTGGAAGTCAAATTGCTTGCGCATGATCAGGATCTCGCACAGGCTTCTCAAAAGGATGGAGGAAGTGCGACTACTGAACTTGCACCACTATCTTATAACGTCGACGATATGCCATTAGTCCAAGTCGTGGTGAAGGTGTTCGGGCTTAGGAATTCGCAAGTCCAGTCGGATATCAACAAGTATAAAGATGTATGGACGGCAAAGGCAGCAATGCAGGACCTCAAAACGTATCAGGTTCAGCTCAACTTAAATACCAGAAGAACGCTATCCAACGACGACTTTGATTCAAACGATGCTTTTGAAGCCTGGAAAAAAGCCGAAGCTGGTGACCTCTCTCAAATGATGTTCTCTATAATGCAATCTAACCCAGAGACCAAAACAAGCACATCTGGTAGCACCCTTCCTTATCTGAGTACCAGATCTAGCGACCTTGCTACCATAGATTCAGGATACTCTGAGCCGTCTGAAGTTTGCTCTGTCGATGCTTTGTCCCTAGCTGACTCATCCAATGATTACTCTGATGACCATAATTTATACACCTTCATTCCGCCGGATGTCAGGTCTTATTACCGCTTCATACTCCTCCAAATTGTTAACCATGAGCTGCAGAACAGAAAAACCAACGTGTCTGAAGGAAAAGCTGAAGGACACACCACCACCCTTCTTTCCAAACAATCTATGGATCTGCTTAACGAAATAAGTCTCCGCTGGCGAATACCACCGTCTACCCGCGCTGTCTTGTTTCTTGATGTTTTCCGAGAAAAATATGTCGAGCAAGAGATTGACCTTGACACGTTAGACTCCGCATTCGTTTTTGTGAACCAACCACCAGTAGAAAAATCGAGGCGTAGTAGCTTCATCCCAGCCTTGACTGCGAGCAGAGAGAACTGGACGCGGGCCGACTTCGGTGTAATGACGCACCTACTCTCCTCTCTTCATGAGGCTCTCCTTCGACAACTCTACGAGACGATGATGCATTGCTATGACACCAAAGTCCCTCCTATAGGATCGGTCATGTACATCCTGGAAAATCACGTCGAGGCGGATCCCAACTTTATTTCCAAGTCGGAGGATCACGAAGAGTTTCGTTCCCATGTACATAACGGACTGGTGGAAAAGGCAAAGGAGGTATACCAAGAACACCTCGACAAGGAAATTCCTCCTAATACAGATGTGTGGGAGTTTTATCATGTAATGCAACTCGGGAAAGCTGTCATGAAGCTTGTCCAACGGATACAGAAGAGATATAAAAATAATCCTGAAATTATGGGGTATGTACTATAGCGCCTCACCAATTTCACATGGACCGAAGCTGACTTGTTTAGTGTGAATCCCTCACCTATCCTAATTAAATGCGTTCTTCCTATGTATGCGGAAGACGCGCGGGATATCATTGCTAGGGTTATACAACAAGCCAAGGATAAGAATGAAGAAATTGGAATACAGGACGGGTTTGATCTGTACAAAGAATTGGCAGAAATTCGGCAATTTTATGTATCGACACTTCCCGGGTAAGAGCTGCATCTATGATTTACGTTCTTCTCCTGGTTGAAAACCCTTTTCCGCTAATGATATTGAATAGTGACCCGTTCCCCATTCCAATTGAGAGGCTTCTGGTTGACTTCGTTTGGCGTTGGATTCGAATGACTGATGAGAAGGTTGTGGATTGGGTAAACCAGGCCATTAAACAAGATGACTTCAAAGTCCGGACTGAATTGCCGAGTGACATACCATCAGAAGAGCAACGGCACAGCGTGTCAGTAATCGATATATTCCGGTTCTTGAACGAATTTATCAATCCGATTGTACAACTGAACTGGAACGACGAAGTGGGATATGCCAAGTTTATGACTGCCATTTCAAAATCGATCGGGGCAGGTGTCGCGAGGTATTGCGAGGTTCTTGAACAAATGTTTAGTAGGGAAATGGATCGCCTTACCCCGGAACAGGAATCGTCTTTGTCGCGATCCCGACAGGAGAAATGGATGCAAATGGCCAAAGAGGCGTGGAACAGCAAGGAGAAAATCGAACCGTTTCAATTCTTCCCAGAGGTGGGTCTTGGAAACCAAAATGTGGCGGTTTTTTGGGAGTCAACTGACCTTTCCTTTTAGTCCTTTGTGAAACTGAATAATATTGAATACGCACTTCATCAGCTTGATAAGCTCGAAAGAGACATAAATGTTGATGCTTGCGCAGACATACTTGCAAAGAATGCTCCTCCTTCCTTAAAACACCCGAGGAAGACCACGAACTATGTTTTCACGGTCAAAATTGTTGAGGCAGAAGATCTGAAGGGATGTGACATGGATGGCCTTAGTGACCCATATGTTTCTTTGGCCGATGAGTCGCAGCGTATATTTAAGACCCGCATTATTTATGACAATCTAAATCCCCGATGGGATGATACTGTCGATATCATTACTAAGGGACCTCAGAACATCATCGCTACAGTCTGGGATTGGGATGCCGTCGGAAGTCACGACTACATGGGACGTACTTCTCTCAAACTTGATCCGGCTCACTTTGCGGACTTTGTCCCTCGAGAGTACTGGCTAGATTTGGATACGCAAGGTCGAATTTTGCTCCGTGTCAGTATGGAAGGCGAACGAGATGATATTCAGTTCTATTTTGGTAAGGCGTTCCGTACTGTAAAGCGAGCAGAGCGGGAGATGACCCGTAAAACAACAGAAAAGGTGTGTTTCAAAATTATGTCCAACCCCTGTCTCGGGAAAATTTCACTGACATCTGTTCCCAGCTTTCTGCCTACATCAACCACTGTCTTTCTCGCCGCGCTCTCAAAGCGTTGCTGTCAAAAGGTATCACGATGTCTACAGTTTCTAGTTATTTCAATAGAAACCGAGCACCGACTGCTTCAGGTCCCACCCAGGCGGAAATTGAGGGCGCCCTAGATACACTCTTCACATACTTTGATGACAACTTTTCAATCATGAACCAAACGTTAACTGCAGAGGCCATGAGAACAGTCATGGCCCGTTTATGGAAAGAAGTGCTGGTAACTGTGGAGAGTTTATTGGTCCCTCCACTTTCAGACAAGCCTTCCAACCAACGGCCCCTCACTCAGCAAGAAGTGGATGTAGTATCTCGCTGGCTCCTTTTGCTCCTCAACTTTTTCAATGCAGTGGACGAAGAAACGGGAGAAGCAAACGGCGTACCCATGGATATTCTCAAGTCTCCCAAATATCACGAAATCCAAAGTCTCTTCTTCTTCTACTTCGAGCCCACCGATAACTTAATCCGAACATCTGAACGGATGGCATCCGCAACATCAGCACGACACCAGGCGAACAGAAACCGATTTTCCGCCCCGCCTTCCATTTTGAGTCCGTTCTCTGCAATTGGTGGTGCTGCCGGCATCCCGTCCGCCCGCCGGTCGAAGAGTATCATGTTATCCCGTAACCTGGGCACGATGAAGAAAGCCAAGCAGGAAAAATGGCGAGAGGCACAAGCAGAGCCGAATGATGATATGATCCTGCGAATTCTACGGATGCGGCCGGAGGCACATGCGTATATTCGTGATCGCAGTCGGCAGAAGGAGAGACTCGCCACGGCTGCTGCTGCGGATCTAATCGTCAAACAAAGCTTAATGGCCGGCAATGGAGGTCGGATGGCTAGTATATTGCCGCGACGGTAAACCATAGTTTCTACCATGAGCTCTACGATATGGGATATGACCGGAATGTTTTTTTTTTTTTTTTTGACGAATGCTCTACTTTGCATGGGTTTTCGTCTGGTGAAGTTATTATATTTTAACATGTGGGAGATACAGCCTTGTTTGAAGTTCTTTTTGTTTCAACTTCCCTCCAACATATTCTTCATTGATCTCAACTCAGAGAGCAGACCTACAAAATTCTCGCATTATGTTTAGCGGATTTACTGTTTTTCCAACCGTCTACATCCTTCTAGCAGCATGATATCACGGCTTATATATTCTCTCTGTGTCTTCCAAGGTTGGCGTTTGTCCCATTCTTCTCAACTTGAACTATTACTTCGCCGCTATTACGCATTGTGTTTCGCTTCAACTTGACAAACCTTGCCGTTTGACATGACAAGCTCGTATAATTCCCCCACATGCTTCTCTGTTTCATGCTTTATTTATTGTTCATTCTCGTTTCCGCAGCCCATCTGAGCTCATGGTATCTTTCCTCCACGTTAATTCCATTGTTAGTTAATAATCGCACCTATACTTGGTTTTGATACTTTAGTTGATATAATTACCAGATGAGCGTTCGGGAATGGTTACTTAGAAATAGCTTGTTTTCTAATCTTAGCGAATTAACTATGTGGTTTTATTGATTTATAACGATTGATTTTGGTAACTGAGGTATCTGTTCAAGGCAGAGGTGCCTAGATCATGCTTGAGACTAGTAATATTTCTAAGGATCTCCCTATAACCAACATAACCATAAAACCACAGTAGAAAAAAGTGAAAAAACGGATCAAAATTTTATTAGTTCCAAGCAATTTTATGTGTGTGTTACTACAACACGGGCCAGTAGATATACTACCGGACGATCTATGTATATACGTAGAAAAAATCACACGTTCCAACTATTGTAGAGCAATACACTCGATCTCGACGGGGACACCCTTGGGAAGCTGGTGGACAGCAACACAGCTGCGAGCAGGGCGACGAGTGAAGAATTTCTCATATTCAGCATTCATTTCGGCGAAGTCATTCATATCCGTGAGGAAGACCTAAGAATGAGATTCCCGACAAATTGGCCCCTGTGTTAGTGTGTTTTATCATCATCTTAAATTTTAAGAAATTGAGAATCGAACAATAAAATATAGGCATCAATTCATCTTCCACTCTCGCTCAAGCAGATCGTTCTTCAGTGGAATGGATGATGTAACACTGTCATTTCCCCTCAGTCACTTACATTAACCTTAACCACCCGATCGACTGTGGTACCCGCCGCAGCCAATACGGCAGCAATATTCCTGCAGCACTGTGCGGTCTTCTCCCCGACGGTCCCTTCAATCACATTTCCCTTTTCATCGGCTGGGATCGCACCGGAGAGGAACACCTGTCCATTTGCTCTAATGGCGTGGGACTATTGCTTTATGTTTTGCGAAAAAGTGCAAGTTCGAGTTAGCCCCATTGCGAATGGTTACGCAAAAAGAGTGTAAATCAAAAAGGCACGTACGTAAGGGCCCGCAGCTGGATTTGAAGTTCATTAGCATGTACTGGGAATTGAAATGGAAATTGATTGCCCTGGTCAGGGGCGGAGGGCCAGGTTCGCTTGGTGGGAAGAAGGGTGGAAGTTGGGAACTTAGACTTACGAGGGCAAGCATCTTTCGCGAAAACGTGGACGATATCAGCCATGTTTCTCGATTGTGTATGTGTGAGACAGAGATGAATTTGCAACGGCAAAGAGGGTTGACGATGGACAGGAGGAGAGCGGAGACGAGCGCTGCAGAGAATGCGGGTTCGTAGATGTTGCCTGAACATGACCTCACTGAGTTGCGCCGGTTGTTGTTTGCTTTGGTTTGATTTCGGTGTTCGTTGACTTCCGCTTATGGATGCGTGGATGGTCACATGACCACGGGTAGATTCGGGAACTTCGCACCACCCGCCAGATCGTTATTTGATCAATTGGTTGAATAAGAGCGGATTGTTTTCATTCGAAGACAATCTCTCTAGTTTTGTTCGTTAGCTTTACATTGCCCGTATTTTAGGTGTGAACCCGCCCGCTGTTCGCTCACCTCATCCACGTGATATCAAACTATATTTAAGTGGGCGCCAAGGCTTTCCTGCAACAGACTAGCGCCCTGCCTATCAATACACAACTAACGAAACAGCTGCATAGCAATCAATATATCCGTACATACTAATTAACTGCCTAGGTAGTTATCTGGCATGCCATCCCTTCCACGCTATTCAACAGGATGTGAATTCCAGTCCGCGCGCCTTTCAGCTCAATTCTCCAAAAGATTGATTTCGCTTGCCTGAAACAGCCAGAAGCAAGCTTCTTCCCATACCACCTAAGGTAACTAGACATCCTGGCCCCTGCGAATTCATAGCTGCGAAAATTCCACGACCTCTGACCAATTGGCCAATAATTGAAATGCCGTCCAAATGAAAATGTGCTCAATTGTCCTCATTCATGGCGCTGCCAAGTCCAACCCCCTCAAGTCACACAATGCAGATAACATGTTATAGCAAATGTGACTTATTTTTATTCATATCCCTCGTACATTCCATAGCAGGCAGGCCCATCTCCTCATCCTGGAGCTTGAACCAATTGGCTTTTGTTTTCTCACACAAAAACGGGGGATATTTTCGCGTTTTTATATCTCTGGTCAGATGCTAGGTCTTATCTGGTTACATGACAAATGCAAGTCATAGGTGCAAACAATCAGCAGAAAACAAAGTGACTTTGCTGCCACTCCTCAGTTAATCTTTGATTCCATCATTTTGCCTTTTCTGCTAACATCTATTGTTAGAAGTCTGTTATTTCACATGGTACTTTACTGTACATTAACACATATTTCTTCTTAAAGCCTGCATGTCCCAGAGTCAGGATGCAAGCTTTGTGTGTTTCTATTCCTTCCTGCCCCCAAGAACTGAATTTCGATTTCTGCGGTTTTGTCCCTTTCTACCACATAAAATTAAGCACCCAAAACAGCCGCAGAGACCGGTTCTTGGATAGGTGATTATGACATTCTTCGTTTTCAGCTTAACTCTGCTGCTGCAGCTCGCCTCAGCCCATTTCTCTGTTAAATATCCCACCTGGCGTGGTGATTCCTTTTCAACACAGTGGAACAGACCATGTATGCATCTGTATATCTCTCAGTTACCCTATCTGCTCTCACTCCTCCCCCCGACCATAAATCCAGTTCGAAGATATCTAATACTGCTACTCAGGCGGAGGGGTCAATGTGACTAATAACCGAACACAATGGCCACTGGACGGAGGTTCCGTCCTCTTTAGCCCCAGCCATCCGTGGGCAATAACATATGTGAATCTCGGTCTCGGCAGCGACGACAAAGTTATCTTCAATATCTCCCTGGTCTCAGGTTTCAATCAAACTGGGAATGGCACGTTCTGTTTTCCAAAAATCCAAATTCCACCTTCGTTAAACTTCGCAGCTGGGACAAATGCGAGTCTTCAAGTCATTCAATTATCGGAACTAGGATCTGCGTTGTATAATGTCAGTTTAATGTTCTTTTCTTTTCCTTTCTCCTTTCTTCCCTCTTTCATTTTCACAGTTGTTGTTGTACCTGTCCCGATTTCGATTCGGGCAACCATACCCCTTGTAAAATTTGCAGAATGAGAACAAAAATATAGGGCATGTTATTAATATACTTATCCCCCCATTAGTGTGCCGACATCACCCTCTCCAAAGATACAAGACTTCTTTCAACTGAGAGCTGTGCCAACTCCTCAGGTATCAACTGGAAGCCCCTTGGAGCAGCTACTAGAGGACCATCGAACACCACCCAAAAAGGAGTTGGGTCTGTGCCCATAATTGATAAAAGTGTCATGAATATGTGGCTCGGTGGGGTTGTGGCATTTTGGCTCTGGAACTGGTGATTTTTAGTTCAGTCTCAAAAATAACAACCACACAACTCCTGCTATTTTTGAAGTTCATCTATGGCCATCGAGTGATTCCTATATCGCATTATTTGAAGCAGAATACCCTTATAGGTATTTAATTAGGTTGATGAATTATTTGTGATGTGTTGTATTATGATGGCGTATCGTTTCAAAAACTGAGGCGGAATTGAGAACTACGTTGAGAGAAGTTAAATAAGTTCTCTTTAAGCAGGACATATATTCATGCAGGGAGAGGGATTTTGAGATTCAGAACAATTTTTAATTTCCACATAGCATGTAACTTGTTTTCCTATGTCATTGACGCTTTAGCTGCTGTAAAACCCGAGTTCTGCTAGATATACTGCTGCTGACTTCACAAATCTATCACCAAGCCAGGGCACTAAGGATTGTCAAGTAATCTGTCGACGGAGCGTACGTATATCACAGTCTAATAGAGGGTCTAATGCCATGCAGCCGCACTAAGTCTGCATTGAGCCCTCTTCCCTGAAACCATACTCTGGTCCTTTGATCTAAAATACACACAAGATGGAACCGGGGCTTCTCGCCAATCCTACCACCTTCTCAAAACTTGACTACTTTATCAAAAAGCTCAACAATTTCATGAATTCTAGTAAGCCTGCCATTCTATCATACATGCTTGTAGACCTACATCTAATACTGCTGCTGCAGTCTTTTTGACTTGAATTTGTAACTTCCTAGTCTGATGTCTGACCTTCAAAACAGCAGCTGTATCAAGAACCTTTTCAATGTTTTCAACATCAGTAAATTTTCTATTAGAATCAGATTGAATTCTCTTCTTAATTTGGAACTGTAAAAGCTCTTCTGACTTTAGTTCAATATTTTATCAGATTTTAACTAACGAAATCGGTCACTGAGCGGATGGGATCTGAGCAGATAGCCTCCCACCCTCAAACACAGTTAAATTCCAAAATAAAGCAATCACCAAAACTAGAATTTCTCATATAATTTATAGAGATCTATTTCTTATGTCTATTAACAGGTTCTAGCAGTAAAATCAACTATATTACACTTCCTGCAGTGTGATGGAGCTCACTTTCTAGATGACTGATTCAAATTCTCTACCCCTATTGTACAGTTTGATTAATTGCTTGAGTTCTAGCTATTTCTTTCTCAGCTGTTACTGCTTCAATCTAGGCGCAGATGAACTGAAGTTTGATTGCCAACTAGATAAGCTATTTCAATGAATACTAAGGTGATTTATGAAAGAGGGGCCTGGGGAAGGATCTTTCTTATATACCTATTCCCGCTAGGCGGTTGCTAGACAGATCCTAGGCCGTTGTTAGGCGGTCTCTGTAGGGCGGTTGCTATTATCCGTAGCCCAATAGACAACGCCATCACACATCAGCTGTTAAAGCTTCATTCTGAGCTAGTGTAGCTAGCCTCCCCTCCAGAATTGAAGAATCCCTGAACAAACACACACAGATGATATTTGTCATCAGAAGCATGGCCTGATCATACAAATTAATAAGTGAATGAGTTTGAAAAAAGTTCATAAGAGTGTGAGAAGGGGCAGAAGAAGAATAGCCTGATGATATTTTGATTATGAAAGAAATTATTCATCAGATATTGCTAAAATACTTCACTAGTTACACTACAGAGCGGCGGATTCTCTATGAAAATCATCAAATATTCAATGTATTCAACAACAAACACACTTAAATATTTAAAATATTAATAAATTAAGACTATCTAATAGTTGAATATATAGCTATTTATTAGGGCAACTGTGAATAGTATGTTCAATAGTTCCACATTCACTCTAGTTTGGTGGAGCTTGCTGATGAGATATAGCTTTAATCTGAACTTCAATCTGCATATCAAGCTGCTGAACATGTCCATGACCTTCCTGTAAAGATAGAATAGTATCCTGACCTAGATTAGCATGTCTTTTTGTCTTTTTCTTTGTTTTTTGCTCATTCTGAAGAATGTTAAGGCGCAGTCGCTGGTAATACGGATTAATGTTGGTCCGCTCCGACCCCAACCATATTCGATTGCTTAGGTTGATCCGGCTCCAATCCTCAACCGCCTATATATATTCGGCTGCTCGTCACATTCTCACATTCTAATTCTCTGTTTAGTATTCTCATCACAGCTATCTAGTTAGATAGATGAATTGAGCTTTTGTCTTGTATATTATCATGCTTCTAGTTGAGCCATGACAAAGAATAGAATACTCTTTTAATTTTATACATTTAATTAATAATTATAACTCATTCTTAATTTTTTTGAATAACTGTATATGATCTCTGATTGTTGCTCAAACAACGCCTTTTTCAAAACTTAGCCAATTTTTAAATTTTTAATTTAAGAATACTCTCATTTGAAAGCCATTACTGAAATTGATCAGTCTTTTAATTTTCATAATATTCAGATAAGATTTGAAGAATTGATTGTTGAAAATATGCTTTTCTTCAAAAAGTGAATACTCATCAACAACTTTCATTATCTACCTACTGCACTTGATCTAAAGAGTGTGAAAATTGAATGAATAAGAGATTGATTAGGTTAAAACAATTCAGACAATTTTTAAAAGCCTTCATCAAGATATTGTTGAGAAAAAACACATCTAAGCTCTTTAAAAACTCTGCCAATTTTGATTTTCTTCTCACCACATCAAGTAATTACCTCCTCACACTGCCCTCATCGAAGTTTGCCTAGATATAGCAGAAAAGATACCTGTGAAAAGTGAAGAATATATGATCTAAGATCTCTGCATCTAATCTCTGTAGACTACAGACTAAAGGTTAAAACTAGCTAGATATTGTTAGGGAGCGAATGCGAGCTGCATAAGAAGGAAACTCTCTGCGTTGCTAACTGCTATATAACGAAATACTAAGCTTGATGGGATGAAAGGGGGTGCTGGGGCCTGCGTGGATTATAACCACCTGCATGGTCGTGTGGTCACGTGATATGGATTAGGCCTAATCGGGCGCCGAGCTTAATCCGACGTCGGGTCTAACCGGGCACCGGCCTTCGGTCGGGCTCGGTCGGACGCTGAGCCTAACATCACCCCCCGGTCTAGGGGCAGGCATGTCCTCATGCCGGTAGGTCGTCATCAACCTCGTCCTTCAGGTAGCTGTCTGTCTCCCATGCCTTCAGCCACTCATCTAGTCGCCTTGGGGGTCCAGCTTTTGTAGGGTTAGCCTCATGGAAGTCGCGTATGGCGTGTGGTGATCCTTTGAAGTCGCGAGCGGGGTACCATGAAGAATCCTCATCAAACCCCTTCCAGCGCACCCGATACTGCAGCTTGCTCCGGCTTATTCGACTGGCCAGTATACGATCTATTTCCCATTCATTCTCACCATCTATTTCAATTGGGTCTGGTGGTCTGATAGTCTGGCCAGGTAGAGGGTCTCTGGAGTCCTTGCGTAGCTTGTCTGGGGAGAAGATTGAATGAATCTTCATTGTTATGGGGAGGTCCAGTTTGTAGGCATTGCCCACCTTTTCCAGGATTCTGAAGGGGCCGGCATTCTGCTCTGCCAGTTTACGGCTTGGTCGATCCATCTTGTATGATTTCAATGTTAGATAAACAAAATCTCCTACTGCAAAGTCAGGCTCTCGATGGTGCTTGTCAGTCTGCCTCTTCATCTGTTCCTGTGCTGTCCTTATGCCTTTACTCGCCTGGTTCCAGATCTCTCTCATTCGGTGAATGAAGCTCCTTGCTGCTTCTCGATTTCTTTTCTCATTCATGTCCAATTTCTCCGCCAGTGGTTGCCAGTCAAATGACATTCGGGGTTCATATCCATTTGCTGCGAGGAAGGGGGAGATCCCTGTGGAAGCATTTGGGGTAGCTGCGGAGGCATGGTCTATAATGGGCAGCCACTCATCCCAGTCATCTTGGTAGTAACTGACATAGGGGCGAAGACGGGTGGCAATGTATTGATTCACCACTTCTGTCTGTCCATCAGTTTGTGCATGATGCGCCGTTGAGAGTTTCAGTTTTATGCCCAGGATCTGTGTAAACTCATCCCAAAAGCTTGATATGAACTGGGGGCCTCGGTCAGAGACAATTGAGTCAGGCGCCCCATTGTATGAATAGTAGAATCGAATGAATAGTCGGGCCAGCTCCTGGGCTGTAACTCCCCGGGTGGTTGGAATGGAGATTGTCTTCTTGCTTAGCCGGCATACTATGACCAAAATGGCATCATAACCTGTTTTGCTTTTCGGCACGTCCATGAAGTCCATTGCAATATGCTGCCATGCCCGTTCTGGTATTGGTAATGGCTTTAGCAAACCAGGAGTCTTATCTCTTGGAATTTTACTGATCCGGCACACATGGCAGTTCCGAATATAGCGTAGGACGTCTGTCCGCCAGGTGGCCCACCAATAGCGTGATTGCACCAGGGCCAGGGTCTTTCGTCCTCCAGGGTGTGCTGTTGAAGCTTGATCATGAATTTCCTGCAGTAGCTTGGCTATCAGGGTTTCCTTTTCCTGAACAGGCACCACTAGTCTTCCATTGTACCGTAGCACATTGTCCTCCATTGTATAGGGACTATTCTCATCATCTGCCTGCTGCCGCAGGGGCTCAATTGAGGTGGCTGTCTTGTTTAGAGACACTATGCATTCAGCAATGCTCTCTTTCTCTGAGGAGTTGATGCTAGCAATGTCTGTAGAGGGAGTGATCTGGGGGTCGAGGGTCTCTGGTCCTAGGAGGATCTGCATACGGCCGTCCTGTTGCCTTCTAACCTGCTCAGGCCTGCTCAGTGCGTCTGCTAGCAGGTTGGCCTTGCCTGGTCGATACTTGATCTCAAAGTAGAAACGGGAGAGGAACTCTGCCCAGCGGGCTTGACGTGCATTCAGCTTCTTGGTAGTCATGAAGTATTCCAGTGCACGATGATCAGTGAGGATCTTGAATCGTTCCTCCCGTTGTAGTCCCTCAAGCTCTGCCCGCCATTCTTGTAAGGCCCGGACTACTGCCAGCATTTCCTTATCATGAACTTCATAATTAAGCTCTG